TTTATATTTGGAACCCCATGACTACCGGATTTACTATGTAAACATTGATTGCGTCATCAGTATGGAATTTCTGCCTCTGAGTTGCAGACGTTCCTCCGCGCGAAACGTCCCCGGCTACGAAGAGCGAGGAGAAACGGATGTTTTCGCAGGCTAGGTGTTTGAAGTTGTTTATTTGTATGAGACCAAGTAACCGTGGCGTATTCAACAATCGGACTCACTAAGGATAAGTATGCGCTTGCCTTAACCGATCGATCGCACGATGAGAGATTCCTTTGAAGGATCCTCAAAACTCTCATAGCCTTTCTTTTTAGTGTCGTCACACTGCAATTGCCAACTCAACATAAATGTTATATAGACGCCGAGGTACTTTTGGTGGCAAGCACCGTCGAGCTGCGCATTACAAAGCGAGTAACTAAACTGGGAAGGAGAATTCTTCAAAGTGACGGACATAACAAAACATTTTGTAGGAGCTAATTTCATCTCGATCAACTAGAGAAGTGGGCCTACACATGGCAGGTCTCGCTGGAGGGCAAAATGGTCGCTTACGGAATTAATCATAAACACGTAAACATAAGTTGTTAGAATCTGTCATTCTTGTAAATCGTAGTTATTGGTAGTTTAATACTAATATAAAGTGAACGAATCAAAAATTCTTGATTAAAATCATACTGTCTTGCACTAAACCCTCAACTCCTCATTTAATTAAGCTTTCGGGTTTTCTCACACCCAGCAGTTTAACATTCATTTGTGCCGGCGTGAAACACTTTTAAAAACGGAGTTTGTATGAGAAGGCTGAACCAGAGGAGCGTTCGTTCGAAGTTGGTGCCCGTAAGGATTCATGGGAAGGATAAATACGAGATAACACGAGGGTGGGGAGGGTGGAGGAGAACAATGTGCTCTTTGCATGCTTGATCACGTGATCAACAACAGCATTGTTAAACGTATTTTAGTATTTAAACGGTAGATATAGGCATATTATCATCTCCTAAAAATTTTTCATCTGTTCGGATTTCCTAGCTGAAAGTCTAATGATCCGAAATTCATAGGGATCAAAACTTACCTTTTCGAAACTTTCAGCCAGAAAAAAGGCTCTCGAAAATTCTAGGTGACCTTTTTAGGGTAAAAATCCGTTAAAAATGGGCAATTATACCATTTTTTACATGTTCGAAAATCCTAGGAGAGGCAGGCAAGCAAGAAATTTTACACCAAATGTTCCGAAAATTCTAGATCTCAAATCGTCTTCCGAACAGATATTTTCCGAAAATTGACGTTGGGTGCCTCTGTTTTTACATTTAGTTCATTTCATTTGAGGGAAAGTAAGCCTTAGAAATTAAAAGGACGTTTGATCAATTCACGCTCGCGCATTCTAGTCTTATTTTAAACTTTATAGCGGAAGGACATCTGTGAGCAGGGAATAAGTCAGCACAGAATTTGATGGTCGGCGAATTTCTGTAATCGTCCATCGTTCTGCTAGTGATAAGCTAGCCGTTGAATCATTCACTCGTCTTGCTTGTTTTGGGCCGAGTCTTATTACGGTCAAAGAGAGAGAAAGAGTGTCTGGAAAGGTTCAGCTGAAGGTTTCCAATCAAAGATTTGTGAACTCGTGTCTGGCAAACTCACTTAGTGTTAAAATATACACTGTTCTACGCACCTTATAACTTCATCTGCGCTTTAACGAAAGTCTTTTGGTCCATAACTTTCATAACAACTGCTCCAGAGAACGTCACTGATAACACGTAACGCAAAAGAGTATCGAAGTGTGACTGCACAATTAATGCCACAAAATCTACCTATTATAAGCTGTCGGCCTTCGGGAGTTTTTGTGTTTTACGTCATCCTAACCATTTCGTACTTGCGGGCGCAAACAATAGAAACGTCATCATTACCTACCGATTCCTCGCGGCCCCTGTTCAAGTAAATCGAGATTTTTTCTATATTGACTGTATGACTGTATATTTCAACTGTAAGTACTTTCCTTAATATACGCGCGAGTTACTAGAGTGCCTCCTCGGGATTTCGCCTTCTTCCGTATGTCTCAAAAGTAGTGATTGCAACGGCCGCCGAAATTCAGAGGCATTTGTATGAGAAAAACAACCTTTGCCATCCACTCACGCTTGTATGGTTTTCTAACAAATCCTTGCTTGTCTGAATAATTTCGAAATTTTCAAGGATTTGTATGGAAAACCATGTAAGCGTGACTGAATGGCAAAAGTGTTTTTCTCATACAAATGCTTCTAACTTTCGGCGGCCGTTGCAATCGCTACTTTTGAGATATACGGCTGGAAATTCTCAGCTGGTTACCCAGTTTTAATATACTCTTCGTGTTATCCTCTTACTACAGGGGCGGATCCAGGATTTTTTTTAGGAGGGGGTGCACTCGTCTCTTGTTCTACTTCAACACCAATAAACCACATAGTTTTTTTTTGCAGAATACCAGTTGTATTAGAAAACCGCAGGTCATCTCGGGGGGGGGGTGGTGCGCACCCCCTGCACCCTCCCCCTACATCCGCCACTGTACTACATTTCTTTGTTCCGTGGCAGCGCCTGGCTGTCAGGTTTATGAAAAGTACATCACTTGCAAAAAATTTCGGACGATTTTAATTTTGGACATAAAAAGTGTCCGAAAATAAAACCATCCGAAATTTTTACAGTACGGTGTAAACCTTTTAAGCACTTTCTTGGGCAGCCTGCGAATAGCAGAAGCATTTCCGGTCGTCGCTTCTCTCCCTCCTGACCCGAACTTATAGAAATCTGTATGGAGACGCCATGCTGGTGCTCACCTGGATGAGCTCCAACATGGCGGACGGAAACCAAAAGAAACATCTATTACCGGGTTTTGCTACAAAAGCGTGAATTTTTTCTTCGAGAAACTCATAAACATAAAAGTAATACTTTTTCTAATACATGAACTGTTCAGATAACAAAACTTCCTGAAATAAGTCATTTTTTTAACCTACATGACAGCTCTCTTTGCCGTCATGTAAATACCGTGTCACGCAAAAGTTGTAGTAGTTGTAGTTGGGGGAACAGTAATCCTCTACAATGAACTCAAACTTTTTGTCTCTTTAAACTGTTTTAATGTAGATAACTTGTTGCTCAACTTTTCATAATCAAGGCTAGCAGTATCTCTCTGACAAGAACTAGTTACAGCTCCTTTTATCCTGACTGAATCTGAAGGCTGCCAATCTTACTCAAACTTAAGATAATCTTACATCAGTAAAAATTCGATTGGCTATAAGAATTATTAACATATTTTCCTTCGAGGTTGTGTACATGTCGTAATAGGAAAATCAGTTAAAACTCCAAAATTCACCTTTGTCCAACAATTGTCCAGTCAAAACAAAACAGTCAGAGAGACACAAAAATTACAAGGAATGTTTACATGAATGAAAATCACATATGTACAATATCGTTACTCTAAAATGTACAATTTGTCAATTCGCGTATAGTGCTTAAGTCGTCGTTTAAAAGCTTCTTGTTGGAATATCGTACAATGGTAATTAGTTCCGCCTTTTTCCATATATTAACTAAAAGATTGTTTACAAATCCCTAGTCAAAAATCAATTAGCAAGATATTTACATTGCGAAAGCCTTTAAACAAAGATATCACTCGTTACAACTGTTAGCAAGTAAATTGAACTAGGCAGTAACAAAAGCTTGTTTATCACGAGTTAACTAAGATAGTCCGTTGGACAAGGTTTTCTTTTGGAAGCGCACTGAAGTTTCGATCAAACCACTAAATACGCGAAAGATAGTAAAAATAGGAATGTCCAGGAAAAGACAACTTGGTAAGGTCAAGCTTCTAAAGATTTAGGAAAGACCAATTAAGCCAATTAATGTAAGATAACAAACAAATGTCGTTAAATTTACCAGAACTAATTAGATTAAGAACCTCTGTGTGGGTTCAGTTTAAACAAAAAGCATCATTTCTTAATTGAATAGTGGCACGTGTGCAAAGAGAAACCGACGTCCAAAAGAGCATCTTTACAGAGAAAGGCCAAACCTTATTAACGAAAAACAAATAGCTTTTGTAAGCCCAGTACATTCTAGTAGAACGTATTTACATAACAATTCAAGACACTCTACTCAGTGACAATAATAATTAAAATATATTAAAATAGCAATGCTTGATGATTCATTAACGTTCCTTATTCGATAAAGGTATTTTCATTTTGGTATTAACTTATACCCAAAAATATCGTTTTACACTTCTGCGTAAAAACGAGGATACTATTGTTAAACAAGCCTTTCGTACTTCGCTAGAACTTCACTGTAATGGTAAAAATAACTTTTATCATAATCTTATGAAAATATCTGAATATTATGACCTCCCTGATTTTGATCCTAATAATTTAAGTGAAGCTAAGATCAAACACTATATAGATATAATAAAACAAAAATATATTGCATATTGGCAACATACAATCCATAAGAAACTACAATTTTACAGCTTATTTAAACATCATTATAAAATTTCAGGTTATCTAGACTTAATTAGAAATTCTGCTAATAGGAAAGATTTAGTGAAAATTCATATAAGTAACCACAAACTCATGATTGAAACTGGAAGATATAATCAAACTTCCCGCAACGATAGATTCTGCCCTATTTGTAACTCTGGTGTAATTGAAGACGAATTTCATTTTCTCTTCCATGGTCCAAAATACTCAATCCCAAGGGAGAAATTCTACAATAAAATCCAACAAAATTTTGTCGACTTAAATCAGCTATCTTACACAGAATTAATAATTAAATTGATGAATTCACAGAATTTTTCCGTAAATTCACATTTGTTGAAATTTGTCTCATTATGTAATGATTTACGTAATAATTTGTTATCAAATCATGCTGATGACACTTGATTGACTATGGTAATCATTGCATTGCATTGTTATGATTTGTTTGTTTGTTTTTTACGTTAAAGCTTTTGCAATACTGTAACTACATAGTTATAGTCATGCAAATAAAGCTTATGTTGTTGTTGTTGTTGTTGTTGTTGTATACCGAAAAGAAGGCCAACACCGTCGAAGACGTGTACTGCTTTCTTTTTGAGTTCGTCTTTCTTTAACTTTACGAAGATCATCGATACAGAATCTCCACCCTTTGCAAATTCTTTTTCTCCTTCTTGGATGCACAAGCACCATTTAAACCAAGATGTATTATGCAAACGGACTTCGCCTCGGCCGCACTCTTCACAGGGGCGAGGTTGTTCACTTTCAGCGACAATGCGTTGACTTTCTCCACAACTTCCACAAACGAAATTTTTCGTGTTACGACTGACAAATGGGTAATGTAGCTCGTATAATGGAGGCTTCCTAAAACTGGGGGCCACGACAACAGGTCCCGTTGTTCGGCCACTCTTGCCAAGTTTATTGGTCTCTGATATGGCCGGTATATCTTCGGGTTCGCATTCACCTCTTATTTTGATATCACTTTCAATCAACCTAGCTGTCCGGCTTTGTTGTAAACGTGTTACTTCTTCATCAGGCAACTTTCAAACAAGAATGGCCGAGGGCGCGTTCTTTTAAAAGCCATTTCTAAGGTCTCACAGACGAAAAATGTTAATATTGTTTGGCTGAAGAACAGCAGCTGGTCCTACGTTTTTTCAAAAGTGTTCCTCGATACCTTCTCTCAAATATATCACACGTTTTGACATAATATTTTGGAGAATTTTGAACAAACAATCGCTGTACGCATGGCACTCAAAATAGTGCGTCACTCATTGGTAACTTGAAACCAGTACTAAACTGCAAATATCTCGGTGTTCCTCGGTCAAAGCAGCCAGAGCAATTTTTAAAGGTGATGCAAAAATATAACGATAATATTGATGATTTTGTATACCGAAAAGAAGGCCAACACCGTCGAGGACGTATTCTGCTTTCTTTTTGGGGTCGCATTCTGCTTTCTTTTCGGGGTCGTCTTTCTTTACCTTAACGAAGATCACAGATCCAGAATCTCCACTCTTGGCAAATTCCTCTTCTCCTTCTTGGATACACAAGCACCTTTTTAACCAAAACGTATCGTACACACTGGCTTTCCCTTCGCCGCACTCTTCACATGGGCGAGGTTGTTCACTTTCAGCGACAAAGCGTTGACTTTCTCCACAGCTTTCACAAACGAACGTTTTCGCTTCACAAGTGACAAATGGATCATGTAGCTTGTACAATGGAGGCTTCATAAAATGTGGAGCCACGACTCCAGGTCCAACAATTTTGTTGCGGATCTCGGTATATCCCGTTGTTCGGCCACTCTTGCAAAGTTTATTGGTCTCTGATATGGCCGGTATATCTTCGGGTTCGCATTCACCTCTTATTTTGATATCACTTTCAATCAACCTAGCTGTCCGGCTTTGTTTTAAACGTGTTACTTCTTCATCAGGCAACTTTGCAATGGCAGCATCGATGAAGTATTCTTTGCCATTAGTCTGGGGCCATACAACATTTTTATTGACACCAACGAAGTACTCTCCTATTTTTCTTGGCGGCTTGTTCCCTTCTTCAAAAGCTTTCTCAAGCTTTTCAATTCTTCCCAAATCCGTCCTGGTGTATGTGTTGCTTCTGGGGTGATTATTTTTTATGAGCTTTAGCCGTTCGAATTCATCTCGTAGTGCCTCACTCGATGAAAGGGTTTCAACGGAACACTCTATTTCCAAGCCGGTTACATCATCTACACAACGTTTATATTGTGCTAGATAATATTTCAGATAGTTTAGGTGGTCATTAAGTCCAGGATGAACAATAGATCTTGACTCTTCTGAGTTCATTACATGATCACAGGACAAAGCATAATAAGTGCTACCGTCTTTCACAATAGCACCTAGTGACCCAGATGATTTCTTTCCTTGTACGCCAACGCTTGCTCCTAAACAAAGCACATCACTTTGCTCTTGTGCCTCTGTTGGTTTCCAGTATGGTTTACCTGCTTTTATCCAGAATCCATTCACAACATCCACGGGGTAACCCTCAAATGCATTTGGAAACTTATGCTCGCCAAATGGAATAAAGCCTTTACCGAGCACATAAATCGTAATACAAGGCTTATCTGTTTGCGTGGAATCTGTGATTTTGAAAGAGGCCTGCACAGAGGTAACATTGCGATGCTTAGAAAGTTCAGGAAGCTTGTTTTCAATCACTTCATTCATTTCGTCAACCTGAGAAGCAGTCAGTGGTGTGGGTTTGCCAAATGGATACTCGAGTCGTTGAACATTCAGTATGTTGACGCTGTCGTTATATAGATCTGACCATTCCAGCTTCACATGCATATCTTCGAAAAACGTTTCGGCTTCTTCCTTTAAATCTTTTGGAATACCAGACTCCCCACTATAGACATAAAACCGAACCACAATCTGGCCATCCTTTGAATATGGCAACACACGAATACATTCCTCATGCTCAGCCTCAAACATCATGGTTGCTGCACGAATGTCTGTCACTCCACTCGCCTTTGCCATAGGCGGTTCACCTGGATCCATGGAAATGTAGTCGTTAGGGTCTTCAACGGATTCTCCATCATGTACGAATTTAACACACGGTTCGGGAAGAATACTAAGCTTGTCCATTTGTAACACATCTGTTAAAAAGGAGAGATAATTTTGTATGAGCGTCGACAATAATTTTTTAGGCGCGCATAAGGGAAAGGAGGGTGCAGGGGGCAGGGGGTACGCATTACCTCCCCTGAGATGACCTGCGGCTTTTCAATTCAACTGGTATTCTGCCAAAAAAAAACAATGTGATTTATTGGTGTTAAAGTAAAACACGAAACGACGTTTAAGAATTTATGTTAAACGCCCTAAAAATGATCGTTAAAATGGTAGTTCTTTAGTGGTGCACCCCCTCCTAAGAAAAATCCTGGATCCGCTCCAGTTTTCACTTAAAGGCTGCACGGCCATGGGCACCTCTCCTGAAACTAAAGTTAGAGATGTTATGTATCTTTACAAGGTTAATCTGCGTTTATCATAAGTTTTAATGAGATGAGAGGCCTGGAGTAAGGCGTTAATTATGATTTCGGCAACATAGACCATCGTCCATGTACTGCCGATCCTGAAGCCGAAGAATTTAACGGTGTACAATTCTTCTTGCAAAGTTTATTAGTCTCTGATATGGCCGGTATATCTTCGGGTTCGCATTCACCTCTTATTTTGATATCAATTTCAATCAACCTAACTGTCCGGCTTTGTTTTAAACGTGTTACTTCTTCGTCAGGCAACTTTGCAGTGGCAGCATCGATGAAGTATTCCTTGCCTTTAGTCTGGGGCCATACAACATTTTTATTGACACCAACGAAGTACTCTGCTATTTTTCTTGGCGAAGTGTTCCCTACATCAACCGGCTCTTATCCAAAATCCATTCACAACATCAACGGGGTAACCCTCAAATGCATTTGGAAACGCAAGCTCGCCAAATGGAATAAATCCTTTACCGAGCACATAAATCGTAATACAAGGCTTATCTGTTTGCGTGGAATCTGTGATTTTGAAAGAGGCCTACACATAGGTAACATTGCGACGCTTAGAAAGTTCAGGAAGCTTGTTTTCAAACACTTGATTCATTTCGTCAACCTGAGAAGCAGTCAGTGGTGTGGGTTTGCCAAATGGATACTTGAGTCGTTGAACATTCAGTATGTTGACGCTGTCGTTATACAGATCTGACCATTCCAGCTTCACATGCATATCTTCGAAAAACGTTTGGGCTTCTTTCCTTAAATCTTTGGGAATACCAGACTCACCACTATAGACATAAAACTGAACCACAAACTGACCATCCTTTGTATACGGCAACAAACGAATGCATTCCTCGTGCTTACCTTCAAACATCATGGTTGCTGCACGAATGTCTGTCACTCCACTTGCCATAGGCAGTTCACCTGGATCCATGGAAATGTTGTCGTAAGGGTCGTCACCGGATTCTCCCTTATATGCGTTCTCGGTTAAGACTCGGTTAAAACTTGGTTCAGGAACAATAATTTGCAACACATCTGTTAAAAAGAAAAGATAATTTTCTATGAGCGTCGACCATAACTTTTTAGGGGCGCATCAGGGGGCGGGGAGGCTGCAGGGGGCAGGGGGTACGCTTTCCCTCCCCTGACATGAAATGTAGCTTTTTAATTTAACTGGTATTCTGCCAAAAAAAAACTTTGTGGTTTATTGGTGTTGAAGTAAAACATGAGACGAGGTTTAAGAATTTATGTTAAACGCCATCAAAATGATCGTTAAAATGGTAGTTCCTTAGTGGTGCACCCCCTCCTAAGAAAAATCCTGGATCCGCTCCTGTCTTCACTAAATGCTGCGCTGCGATGCGCACATCTCTTGAAACTAATGTTAGAGATGTAATCTATCTTTACAAGGTTAATCTGCATTTATCATACGTTTTAATGAGATGAGGGGCCTGGAGTAAGAAATTAAATATGATTTCGGAAACATACACCATCGTGCATGTACTGCTGATACTGAAGCCGAAGAATTTAACGGTTTACCATTGTTCTTGCAAAGTTTATTGGTCTCTGATATGGCCGGTATATCTTCGTGTTCGCATTCACCTCTTATTTTGATATCATTTTCAATCAACCTAGCTGTCCGGCTTTGTTTTGAACGTGTTACTTCTTTGTCAGCCAACTTTGCAATGGCAGCATCCATGAAGTATTCCTTGCCATTAGTCTGGGGCCATACAACATTTTTATTGAAACCAACGAAGTACTCTCCAATTTTTGTTGACGGCTTGTTCCCTTCTTCAAAATCTTTCTCAAGCTTTGTAAGTCTTTTCGAATCCGCACTGGTGTAGTTGTTGCTTTTGGGATGATTATTTTTTATGCGATCTAGCTCTTCGAATCTATTTCCTTGTGCCTCACTCGATGAAAGGGTTTCAACTGCGCACTCTGTTTCCGAGCCGGTTACATCATCTACACAACGTTTATATTGTGGTAGATAATATTTCAGATAGCTTAGATCGTCATTGAGTCGAGGATGAACAATACACCTTGACTTTTCTGAGTTCATTACATGATCACAGGACAAAGCATAATAACTGCTACCGTCTTTGACAATAGCACCTAGTGTCCCCGATGCTTCCTTTCCCTGTACGCCAATGCTTGCTCCTAGACAAAGCACGTCGCTTGGCTCTTGTGCCTCTGTTGGTTGTTTACCTGCTTTTATCGAAAATCCATTCACAACATCCACGGGGTAACCCTCAAATGCATTTGGAAACTTACGCTCGCCAAATGGAATAAAGCTTGCCATATGCAGTTCACCTTGATCCATGGAAATGTTGTCGTAAGGGTCTTCAACGTATTCTCCCTCATGTGCGGAGTCGGTTACGACTCGGTTAAGACTTATTTCAGGAACAATAATTTGCGACACATCTGTTAAAAAGAAGAGATAATTTTGTATGAGCGTTGACAATAATTTTATTCTTCAGAGGCGCATAAGGGGGGGGGGAGGGGGCAGGGGGTACGCATTCCCTCCCCTGAGATGACCTGCGGCTTTTTAATTCAACTGGTATTCTGCCAAAAAAAAACTTTGTGGTTTATTGGTGTTGAAGTAAAACATGAGACGAGGTTTAAGAATTTATGTTAGACGCCATCAAAATGATCGTTAAAATGGTAGTTCCTTAGTGGTGCACCCCCTCCTAAGAAAAATCCTGGATCCGCTCCAGTTTTCACTTAAAGGCTGCACGGCCATGGGCACCTCTCCTGAAACTAAAGTTAGAGATGTTATGTATCTTTACAAGGTTAATCTGCGTTTATCATAAGTTTTAATGAGATGAGAGGCCTGGAGTAAGGCGTTAATTATGATTTCGGCAACATAGACCATCGTCCATGTACTGCCGATCCTGAAGCCGAAGAATTTAACGGTGTACAATTCTTCTTGCAAAGTTTATTAGTCTCTGATATGGCCGGTATATCTTCGGGTTCGCATTCACCTCTTATTTTGATATCAATTTCAATCAACCTAACTGTCCGGCTTTGTTTTAAACGTGTTACTTCTTCGTCAGGCAACTTTGCAGTGGCAGCATCGATGAAGTATTCCTTGCCTTTAGTCTGGGGCCATACAACATTTTTATTGACACCAACGAAGTACTCTGCTATTTTTCTTGGCGAAGTGTTCCCTACATCAACCGGCTCTTATCCAAAATCCATTCACAACATCAACGGGGTAACCCTCAAATGCATTTGGAAACGCAAGCTCGCCAAATGGAATAAAGCCTTTACCGAGCACATAAATCGTAATACAAGGCTTATCTGTTTGCGTGGAATCTGTGATTTTGAAAGAGGCCTACACATAGGTAACATTGCGACGCTTAGAAAGTTCAGGAAGCTTGTTTTCAAACACTTGATTCATTTCGTCAACATGAGAAGCAGTCAGTGGTGTGGGTTTGCCAAATGGATACTTGAGTCGTTGAACATTCAGTATGTTGACGCTGTCGTTATACAGATCTGACCATTCCAGCTTCACATGCATATCTTCGAAAAACGTTTGGGCTTCTTTCCTTAAATCTTTGGGAATACCAGACTCACCACTATAGACATAAAACTGAACCACAAACTGACCATCCTTTGTATACGGCAACAAACGAATGCATTCCTCGTGCTTACCTTCAAACATCATGGTTGCTGCACGAATGTCTGTCACTCCACTTGCCATAGGCAGTTCACCTGGATCCATGGAAATGTTGTCGTAAGGGTCCTCACCGGATTCTCCCTTATATGCGTTCTCGGTTAAGACTCGGTTAAAACTTGGTTCAGGAACAATAATTTGCAACACATCTGTTAAAAAGAAAAGATAATTTTCTATGAGCGTCGACCATAACTTTTTAGGGGCGCATCAGGGGGCGGGAGGCTGCAGGGGCAGGGGTACGCTTTCCCCCCCTGACATGAAATGTAGCTTTTAATTTAACTGGTATTCTGCCAAAAAAAAAAAACTTTGTGGTTTATTGGTGTTGAAGTAAAACATGAGACGAGGTTTAAGAATTTATGTTAAACGCCATCAAAATGATCGTTAAAATGGTAGTTCCTTAGTGGTGCACCCCCTCCTAAGAAAAATCCTGGATCCGCTCCTGTCTTCACTAAATGCTGCGCTGCGATGCGCACATCTCTTGAAACTAATGTTAGAGATGTAATCTATCTTTACAAGGTTAATCTGCATTTATCATACGTTTTAATGAGATGAGGGGCCTGGGGTAAGACATTTAATATGAGTTCGGTAACATGCACCATCGTGCATGTACTGCTGATACTGAAGCCGAAGAATTTAACGGTTTACCATTGTTCTTGCAAAGTTTATTGGTCTCTGATATGGCCGGTATATCTTCGTGTTCGCATTCACCTCTTATTTTGATATCATTTTCAATCAACCTAGCTGTCCGGCTTTGTTTTGAACGTGTTACTTCTTTGTCAGCCAACTTTGCAATGGCAGCATCCATGAAGTATTCCTTGCCATTAGTCTGGGGCCATACAACATTTTTATTGAAACCAACGAAGTACTCTCCAATTTTTGTTGACGGCTTGTTCCCTTCTTCAAAATCTTTCTCAAGCTTTGTAAGTCTTTTCGAATCCGCACTGGTGTAGTTGTTGCTTTTGGGATGATTATTTTTTATGCGATCTAGCTCTTCGAATCTATTTCCTTGTGCCTCACTCGATGAAAGGGTTTCAACTGCGCACTCTGTTTCCGAGCCGGTTACATCATCTACACAACGTTTATATTGTGGTAGATAATATTTCAGATAGCTTAGATCGTCATTGAGTCGAGGATGAACAATACACCTTGACTTTTCTGAGTTCATTACATGATCACAGGACAAAGCATAATAACTGCTACCGTCTTTGACAATAGCACCTAGTGTCCCCGATGCTTCCTTTCCCTGTACGCCAATGCTTGCTCCTAGACAAAGCACGTCGCTTGGCTCTTGTGCCTCTGTTGGTTGTTTACCTGCTTTTATCGAAAATCCATTCACAACATCCACGGGGTAACCCTCAAATGCATTTGGAAACTTACGCTCGCCAAATGGAATAAAGCTTGCCATATGCAGTTCACCTTGATCCATGGAAATGTTGTCGTAAGGGTCTTCAACGTATTCTCCCTCATGTGCGGAGTCGGTTACGACTCGGTTAAGACTTATTTCAGGAACAATAATTTGCGACACATCTGTTAAAAAGAAGAGATAATTTTGTATGAGCGTTGACAATAATTTTATTCTTCAGAGGCGCATAAGGGGGTGCAGGGGCAGGGGGTACGCATTCCCTCCCCTGAGATGACCTGCGGCTTTTTAATTCAACTGGTATTCTGCCAAAAAAAAACTTTGTGGTTTATTGGTGTTGAAGTAAAACATGAGACGAGGTTTAAGAATTTATGTTAGACGCCATCAAAATGATCGTTAAAATGGTAGTTCCTTAGTGGTGCACCCCCTCCTAAGAAAAATCCTGGATCCGCTCCTGTTTTCACTAAATGCTGCGCGGCCATGGGCACATCTCTTGAAACTAATGTTAGAGATGTAATCTATCTTTACAAGGTTAATCTGCATTTATCATACGTTTTAATGAGATGAGGGGCCTGGGGTAAGACATTAGATATGATTTCGGAAACATACACCATCGTGCATGTACTGCTGATACTGAAGCCGAAGAATTTAACGGTTTACCATTGTTCTTGCAAAGTTTATTGGTCTCTGATATGGCCGGTATATCTTCGTGTTCGCATTCACCTCTTATTTTGATATCATTTTCAATCAACCTAGCTGTCCGGCTTTGTTTTGAACGTGTTACTTCTTTGTCAGCCAACTTTGCAATGGCAGCATCCATGAAGTATTCCTTGCCATTAGTCTGGGGCCATACAACATTTTTATTGAAACCAACGAAGTACTCTCCAATTTTTGTTGCCGGCTTGTTCCCTTCTTCAAAATCTTTCTCAAGCTTTGTAAGTCTTTTCGAATCCGCACTGGTGTAGTTGCTGCTTTTGGGATGATTATTTTTTATGCGATCTAGCTCTTCGAATCTATTTCCTTGTGCCTCACTCGATGAAAGGGTTTCAACTGCACACTCTGTTTCCGAGCCGGTTACATCATCTACACAACGTTTATATTGTGGTAGATAATATTTCAGATAGTTTAGATCGTCATTGAGTCGAGGATGAACAATACACCTTGACTTTTCTGAGTTCATTACATGATCACAAAACAAAGCATAATAACTGCTACCGTCTTTGACAATAGCACCTAGTGTCCCCGATGCTTCCTTTCCCTGTACGCCAATGCTTGCTCCTAGACAAAGCACGTCGCTTGGCTCTTGTGCCTCTGTTGGTTGTTTACCTGCTTTTATCGAAAATCCATTCACAACATCCACTGGGTAACCCTCAAATGCATTTGGAAACTTACGCTCGCCAAATGGAATAAAGCTTGCCATATGCAGTTCACCTTGATCCATGGAAATGTTGTCGTAAGGGTCTTCAACGTATTCTCCCTCATGTGCGGAGTCGGTTACGACTCGATTAAGACTTCTTTCAGGAACAATAGGTTGCGACACATCTGTTAAAAAGAAGAGATAATTTTGTATGAGCGTCGACAATAATTTTATTCTTCAGGGGCGCATAACGGGGGGGGCAGGGGGCAGGGGGTACGCATTCCCTCCTCTGAGATGACCTGCGGCTTTTTAATTCAACTGGTATTCTGCCAAAAAAAAACTTTGTGGTTTATTGGTGTTGAAGTAAAACATTAGACGAGGTTTAAGAATTTATGTTAAACGCCATCAAAATGATTGTTAAAATGGCAGTTCCTTAGTGGTGCACCCCCCTAAGAAAAATACTGGATCCGCTCCTGTTTTCACCAAATGCTGCGCGGCCATGGGCACATCTCCTGAAACTAATGTTAGTCATGTAATCTACCTTTACAAGGTTAATCTGCGTTTATCATAAGTTTTAATGAGATGAGGGGCCTGGGGTAAGGCGTTAATTAAGATTTCGGCAACATAGACCATCGTGCATGTACTGCTGATCCTGAAGCCGAAGAATTTAACGATTTACCATCGTTCTTGCAAAGTTTATTGCTGTCTGATATGTCCGGTATATCTTCGGGTTCGCATTCACCTCTTATTTTGATATCAATTTCAATCAACCTAACTGTCCGGCTTTGTTTTAAACGTGTTACTTCTTCGTCAGGCAACTTTGCAATGGCAGCATCGATGAAGTATTCCTTGCCATTAGTCTGGGGCCATACAACATTCTTATTGACACCAACGAAGTACTCTCCTATTTTTCTTGGCGCCTTGTTACCTTCTTCAAAATCTTTCTCAAGCTTTGTAAGTCTTTTCAAATCCGCACTGGTGTAGTTGCTGCTTTTGGGATGATTATTTTTTATGCGATCTAGCTGCTCGAATCTATTTCCTTGTGCCTCACTCGATGAAAGGGTTTCAACTGAACACTCTGTTTCCGAGCCGGTTACATCATCTACACAGCGTTTGTATTGTGCTAGATAATATTTCAGATAGTTTAGGTGGTCATTGAGTCCAGGATGAACAATACACTTTGCCTTTTCTGAGTTCATTACAAGATCACAGGACAAAGCACAATAAGTGCTACCGTCTTTCACAATAGCACCTAGTGTCCCCGATGCTTTCTTTCCCTGTACGCCAATGCTTGATCCTAAACAAAGCATGTCGCTTGGCTCTTTTGCCTCTGTTGGTCGTTTACCTGCTCTTATCCAAAATCCATTCACAACATCCACGGGGTTACCCTCAAATGCATTTGGAAACGCAAGCTCGCCAAATGGAATAAAGCCTTTCCCGAGCACATCAATCGTAATACAAGGCTTATCTGTTTGCGTGGAATCTGTGATTTTGAAAGAGGCCTGCACATAGGTAACATTGCGATGCTTAGAAAGTTCAGGAAGCTTGTTTTCAAACACTTGATTCATTTCGTTAACCTAAGAAACGGTCAGTGGTGTGGGTTTTTCAAATTGATACTTCAGTCGTTGAACATTCAGTATGTTGACGCTGTCGTTATACAGATCTGACCATTCCAGCTTCACATGCATATCTTCGAAAAACGTTTGGGCTTCTTTCCTTAAATCTTTGGGAATACCAGACTCACCACTATAGACATAAAACTGAACCACAATCTGACCATCATTTGTATATGGCAACACACGATTGCATTCTTCGTGCTTACCTTCAAACATCATGGTTGCTGCACGAATGTCTGTCACTTCACTTGCCACAGGCAGTTCACCTAGATCCATGGAAATGTTCTCGTAAGGGTCTTGAACGGATTCTCCCTTATATGCGGTCTCGGTTAAGACTCGGTTAAGACTTTGCAACACATCTGTTAAAAAGAAAAGATAATTTTGTATGAGCGTCGACAATAACTTTTTAGGGGCGCATCAGGGGGCGAGGAGGGTGCAGGGAGCAGGGGGTACGCTTTCCCTTCCCTGAGATGACCTGCGGCTATTTAATTCACCTGGTATTCTGCCAAAACAAAACTTTGTGGTTTATTGGTGTTGAAGTAAAACATGAGACGAGGTTTAAGAATTTATGTTAAACGCCATCAAAATGATCGTTAAAATGGTAGTTCCTTAGTGGTGCACCCCCTCCTACGAAAAATCCTGGATCCGCTCCTGTTTTCACTAAATGCTGCGCGGCCATGAGCACATCTCCTGAAACTAATGTTAGAGATGTAATCTATCTTTACAAGGTTAATCTGCGTTTATCATAAGTTTTAATGAGATGAGGGGCCTGGGGTAAGACATTAAATATGATTTCGGCAACATACACTATCGTGCTGTACTGCTGATACTGAAGCCGAAGAATTTAACGGTTTACCATTGTTCTTGCAAAGTTTATTGGTCTCTGATACGGCCGGTATATCTTCAGGTTCGCATTCACCTCTTATTTTGATATCACTTTCAATCAACCTAGCTGTCCGCCTTTGTTTTAAACGTGTTACTTGTACGTCAGGCAACTTTGCAATGACAGCATTGATGAAGTATTCCTTGCCATTAGTCTGGGGCTATACAACATTTTTATTGAGACCAACGAAGTACTCTGCTATTTTTCTTGGCGGCTTGTTCCCTTCTTCAAAATCTCTCTCAAGCTTTTTAGTTCTTTTCAAATGCGCACCGGTGTAGTTGCTGCTTTCGAGGTGATTCTTTTTTATGCGCTTTAACTCTTCGAATTTATTTCCTAGTGCCTCACTCGATGAAAGGGTTTCAACTGAACACTCTGTTTCCGAGCCGGTTACATCATCTACACAACGTTTATATTGTGCTAGATAATATTTCAGATAGTTTAGGTGGTCATTGAGTCCAGGATGAACAATACACTTTGCCTTTTCTGAGTTCATTACATGATCACAGGACAAAGCATAATAAGTGCTACCGTCTTTCACAATAGCACCTAGTGTCCCCTAATGCTTTCTTTCCCTGTACGCCAATGCTTGCTCCTAAACAAAGCACGTCGCTTGGCTCTTTTGCCTCTGTTGGCCGTTTACCTGCTCTTATCCAAAATCCATTCACAACATCAACGGGGTAACCCTCAAATGCATTTGGAAACGCAAGCTCGCCAAATGGAATAAAGCCTTTACCGAGCACATAAATCGTAATACAAGGCTTATCTGTTTGCGTGGAATCTGTGATTTTGAAAGAGGCCTGCACATAGGTAACATTGCGATGCTTAGAAAGTTCAGGAAGCTTGTTTTCAAACACTTGATTCATTTCGTCAACCTGAGAAGCAGTCAGTGGTGTGGGTTTGCCAAATGGATACTTGAGTCGTTGAACATTCAGTATGTTGACGCTGTCGTTATACAGATCTGACCATTCCAGCTTCACATGCATATCTTCGAAAAACGTTTGGGCTTCTTTCCTTAAATCTTTGGGAATACCAGACTCACCACTATAGACATACAACTAAACCACAATCTGACCATCCTTTGTATACGGCAACAAACGAATGCATTCCTCGTGCTTACCTTCAAACATCATGGTTGCTGCACGAATGTCTGTCACTCCACTTGCCATAGGCAGTTCACCTGGATCCATGGAAACGTTGTCGTAAGGGTCCTCAACGGATTCTCCCTTATATGCGTTCTCGGTTAAGACTCGGTTAAGACTTGGTTCGGGAACAATACTTTGCAACACATCTGTTAAAAAGAAAAGATAATTTTCTATGAGCGTCGACCATAACTTTTTAGGGGCGCATCAGGGGGCGAGGAGGGTGCAGGGGGCAGGCGGTACGCTTTCCCTCCCCTGACATGAAATGTAGCTTTTTAATTTAACTGGTATTCTGCCAAAACAAAACTTTGTGGTTTATTGGTGTTGAAGTAAAACATGAGACGAGGTTTAAGAATTTATGTTAAACGCCATCAAAATGATCGTTAAAATGTTAGTTCCTTAGTGGTGCACCCCCTCCTAAGAAAAATCCTGGATCCGCTCCTGTTTTCACTAAATGCTGCGCGGCCATGGGCACATCTCTTGAAACTAATGTTAGAGATGTAATCTATCTTTACAAGGTTAATCTGCATTTATCATACGTTTTAATGAGATGAGGGGCCTGGGGTAAGACATTAGATATGATTTCGGAAACATACACCATCGTGCATGTACTGCTGATACTGAAGCCGAAGAATTTAACGGTTTACCATTGTTCTTGCAAAGTTTATTGGTCTCTGATATGGCCGGTATATCTTCGTGTTCGCATTCACCTCTTATTTTGATATCATTTTCAATCAACCTAGCTGTCCGGCTTTGTTTTGAACGTGTTACTTCTTTGTCAGCCAACTTTGCAATGGCAGCATCCATGAAGTATTCCTTGCCATTAGTCTGGGGCCATACAACATTTTTATTGAAACCAACGAAGTACTCTCGAATTTTTGTTGACGGCTTGTTCCCTTCTTCAAAATCTCTCTCAAGCTTTGTAAGTCTTTTCGAATCCGCACTGGCGTAGTTGTTGCTTTTGGGATGATTATTTTTTATGCGATCTAGCTCTTCGAATCTATTTCCTTGTGCCTCACTCGATGAAAGGGTTTCAACTGCGCACTCTGTTTCCGAGCCGGTTACATCATCTACACAACGTTTATATTGTGGTAGATAATATTTCAGATAGTTTAGATCGTCATTGAGTCGAGGATGAACAATACACCTTGACTTTTCTGAGTTCATTACATGATCACAGGACAAAGCATAATAACTGCTACCGTCTTTGACAATAGCACCTAGTGTCCCCGATGCTTCCTTTCCCTGTACGCCAATGCTTGCTCCTAGACAAAGCACGTCGCTTGGCTCTTGTGCCTCTGTTGGTTGTTTACCTGCTTTTATTGAAAATCCATTCACAACATCCACGGGGTAACCCTCAAATGCATTTGGAAACTTACGCTCGCCAAATGGAATAAAGCTTGCCATATGCAGTTCACCTTGATCCATGGAAATGTTGTCGTAAGGGTCTTCAACGTATTCTCCCTCATGTGCGGAGTCGGTTACGACTCGGTTAAGACTTATTTCAGGAACAATAATTTGCGACACATCTGTTAAAAAGAAGAGATAATTTTGTATGAGCGTCGACAATAATTTTATTCTTCAGAGGCGCATAAGGGGAGGGGGGAGGCAGGGGGCAGGGGGTACGCATTCCCTTCCCTGAGATGACCTGCGGCTTTTTAATTCAACTGGTATTCTGCCAAAAAAAAACTTTGTGGTTTATTGGTGTTGAAGTAAAACATGAGACGAGGTTTAAGAATTTATGTTAAACGCCATCAAAATGATCGTTAAAATGGTAGTTCCTTAGTGGTGCACCCCCTCCTAAGAAAAATCCTGGATCCGCTCCTGTTTTCACTAAATGCTGCGCGGCCATGGGCACATCTCTTGAAACTAATGTTAGAGATGTAATCTATCTTTACAAGGTTAATCTGCATTTATCATACGTTTTAATGAGATGAGGGGCCTGGGGTAAGACATTAAATATGATTTCGGAAACATACACCATCGTGCATGTACTGCTGATACTGAAGCCGAAGAATTTAACGGTTTACCATTGTTCTTGCAAAGTTTATTGGTCTCTGATATGGCCGGTATATCTTCGTGTTCGCATTCACCTCTTATTTTGATATCATTTTCAATCAACCTAGCTGTCCGGCTTTGTTTTGAACGTGTTACTTCTTTGTCAGCCAACTTTGCAATGGCAGCATCCATGAAGTATTCCTTGCCATTAGTCTGGGGCCATACAACATTTTTATTGAAACCAACGAAGTACTCTCCAATTTTTGTTGCCGGCTTGTTCCCTTCTTCAAAATCTTTCTCAAGCTTTGTAAGTCTTTTCGAATCCGCACTGGTGTAGTTGCTGCTTTTGGGATGATTATTTTTTATGCGATCTAGCTCTTCGAATCTATTTCCTTGTGCCTCACTCGATGAAACGGTTTCAACTGGACACTCTGTTTCCGAGCCGGTTACATCATCTACACAACGTTTATATTGTGGTAGATAATATTTCAGATAGTTTAGATCGTCATTGAGTCGAGGATGAACAATACACCTTGACTTTTCTGAGTTCATTACATGATCACAGGACAAAGCATAATAACTGCTACCGTCTTTGACAATAGCACCTAGTGTCCCCGATACTTTCTTTCCCTGTACGCCAATGCTTGCTCCTAGACAAAGCACGTCGCTTGGCTCTTGTGCCTCTGTTGGTTGTTTACCTGCTTTTATCGAAAATCCATTCACAACATCCACGGGGTAACCCTCAAATGCATTTGGAAACTTACGCTCGCCAAATGGAATAAAGCTTGCCATATGCAGTTCACCTTGATCCATGGAAATGTTATCGTAAGGGTCTTCAATGTATTCTCCCTCATGTGCGGAGTCGGTTACGACTCGATTAAGACTTCTTTCAGGAACAATAGGTTGCGACACATCTGTTAAAAAGAAGAGATAATTTTGTATGAGCGTCGACAATAATTTTATTCTTCAGGGGCGCATAAGGGGGGGGCAGGGGGCAGGGGGTACGCATTCCCTCCTCTGAGATGACCTGCGGCTTTTTAATTCAACTGGTATTCTGCCAAAAAAAAACTTTGTGGTTTATTGGTGTTGAAGTAAAACATCAGACGAGGTTTAAGAATTTATGTTAAACGCCATCAAAATGATTGTTAAAATGGCAGTTCCTTAGTGCTGCACCCCCTCCTAAGAAAAATACTGGATCCGCTCCTGTTTTCACCAAATGCTGCGCGGCCATGGGCACATCTCCTGAAACTAATGTTAGTGATGTAATCTACCTTTACAAGGTTAATCTGCGTTTATCATAAGTTTTAATGAGATGAGGGGCCTGGGGTAAGGCGTTAATTAAGATTTCGGCAACATAGACCATCGTGCATGTACTGCTGATCCTGAAGCCGAAGAATTTAACGGTTTACCATCGTTCTTGCAAAGTTTATTGCTGTCTGATATGGCCGGTATATCTTCGGGTTCGCATTCACCTCTTATTTTGATATCAATTTCAATCAACCTAACTGTCCGGCTTTGTTTTAAACGTGTTACTTCTTCGTCAGGCAACTTTGCAATGGCAGCATCGATGAAGTATTCCTTGCCATTAGTCTGGGGCCATACAACATTCTTATTGACACCAACGAAGTACTCTCTTATTTTTCTTGGCGCCTTGTTACCTTCTTCAAAATCTTTCTCAAACTTTGTAAGTCTTTTCAAATCCGCACTGGTGTAGTTGCTGCTTTTGGGATGATTATTTTTTATGCGATCTAGCTGCTCGAATCTATTTCCTTGTGCCTCACTCGATGAAAGGGTTTCAACTGAACACTCTGTTTCCGAGCCGGTTACATCATCTACACAACGTTTGTATTGTGCTAGATAATATTTCAGATAGTTTAGGTGGTCATTGAGTCCAGGATGAACAATACACTTTGCCTTTTCTGAGTTCATTACAAGATCACAGGACAAAGCACAATAAGTGCTACCGTCTTTCACAATAGCACCTAGTGTCCCCGATGCTTTCTTTCCCTGTACGCCAATGCTTGATCCTAAACAAAGCATGTCGCTTGGCTCTTTGCCTCTGTTGGTCGTTTACCTGCTCTTATCCAAAATCCATTCACAACATCCACGGGGTTACCCTCAAATGCATTTGGAAACGCAAGCTCGCCAAATGGAATACAGCCTTTCCCGAGCACATCAATCGTAATACAAGGCTTATCTGTTTGCGTGGAATCTGTGATTTTGAAAGAGGCCTGCACGTAGGTAACATTGCGATGCTTAGAAAGTTCAGGAAGCTTGTTTTCAAACACTTGATTCATTTCGTTAACCTAAGAAACGGTCAGTGGTGTGGGTTTTCAAATTGATACTTCAGTCGTTGAACATTCAGTATGTTGACGCTGTCGTTATACAGATCTGACCATTCCAGCTTCACATGCATATCTTCGAAAAACGTTTGGGCTTCTTTCCTTAAATCTTTGGGAATACCAGACTCACCACTATAGACATAAAACTGAACCACAATCTGACCATCATTTGTATATGGCAACACACTATTGCATTCTTCGTGCTTACCTTCAAACATCATGGTTGCTGCACGAATGTCTGTCACTCCACTTGCCACAGGCAGTTCACCTAGATCCATGGAAATGTTGTCGTAAGGGTCTTGAACGGATTCTCCCTTATATGCGGTCTCGGTTAAGACTCGGTTAAGACTTTGCAACACATCTGTTAAAAAGAAAAGATAATTTTGTATGAGCGTCGACAATAACTTTTTAGGGGCGCATCAGGGGGCGAGGAGGGTGCAGGGAGCAGGGGGTACGCTTTCCCTTCCCTGAGATGACCTGCGGCTATTTAATTCACCTGGTATTCTGCCAAAAAAAAACTTTGTGGTTTATTGGTGTTGAAGTAAAACATGAGACGAGGTTTAAGAATTTATGTTAAACGCCATCAAAATGATCGTTAAAATGGTAGTTCCTTAGTGGTGCACCCCCTCCTAAGAAAAATCCTGGATCCGCTCCAGTTTTCACTAAATGCTGCGCGGCCATGAGCACATCTCCTGAAACTAATGTTAGAGATGTAATCTACCTTTACAAGGTTAATCTGCCTTTATCATAAGTTTTAATGAGATGAGGGGCCTGGGGTAAGACATTAAATATGATTTCGGCAACATACACTATCGTGCTGTACTGCTGATACTGAAGCCGAAGAATTTAACGGTTTACCATTGTTCTTGCAAAGTTTATTGGTCTCTGATATGGCCGCTATATCTTCGGGTTCGCATTCACCTCTTATTTTGATATCACTTTCAATCAACCTAGCTGTCCGGCTTTGTTTTAAACGTGTTACTTGTACGTCAGGCAACTTTGCAATGACAGCATCGATGAAGTATTCCTTGCCATTAGTCTGGGGCCATACAACATTCTTATTGACACCAACGAAGTACTCTCCTATTTTTCTTGGCGCCTTGTTACCTTCTTCAAAATCTTTCTCAAACTTTGTAAGTCTTTTCAAATCCGCACTGGTGTAGTTGCTGCTTTTGGGATGATTATTTTTTATGCGATCTAGCTGCTCGAATCTATTTCCTTGTGCCTCACTCGATGAAAGGGTTTCAACTGAACACTCTGTTTCCGAGCCGGTTACATCATCTACACAACGTTTGTATTGTGCTAGATAATATTTCAGATAGTTTAGGTGGTCATTGAGTCCAGGATGAACAATACACTTTGCCTTTTCTGAGTTCATTACAAGATCACAGGACAAAGCACAATAAGTGCTACCGTCTTTCACAATAGCACCTAGTGTCCCCGATGCTTTCTTTCCCTGTACGCCAATGCTTGATCCTAAACAAAGCATGTCGCTTGGCTCTTTTGCCTCTGTTGGTCGTTTACCTGCTCTTATCCAAAATCCATTCACAACATCCACGGGGTTACCCTCAAATGCATTTGGAAACGCAAGCTCGCCAAATGGAATACAGCCTTTCCCGAGCACATCAATCGTAATACAAGGCTTATCTGTTTGCGTGGAATCTGTGATTTTGATAGAGGCCTGCACGTAGGTAACATTGCGATGCTTAGAAAGTTCAGGAAGCTTGTTTTCAAACACTTGATTCATTTCGTTAACCTAAGAAACGGTCAGTGGTGTGGGTTTTTCAAATTGATACTTCAGTCGTTGAACATTCAGTATGTTGACGCTGTCGTTATACAGATCTGACCATTCCAGCTTCACATGCATATCTTCGAAAAACGTTTGGGCTTCTTTCCTTAAATCTTTGGGAATACCAGACTCACCACTATAGACATAAAACTGAACCACAATCTGACCATCATTTGTATATGGCAACACACTATTGCATTCTTCGTGCTTACCTTCAAACATCATGGTTGCTGCACGAATGTCTGTCACTCCACTTGCCACAGGCAGTTCACCTAGATCCATGGAAATGTTGTCGTAAGGGTCTTGAACGGATTCTCCCTTATATGCGGTCTCGGTTAAGACTCGGTTAAGACTTTGCAACACATCTGTTAAAAAGAAAAGATAATTTTGTATGAGCGTCGACAATAACTTTTTAGGGGCGCATCAGGGGGCGAGGAGGGTGCAGGGAGCAGGGGGTACGCTTTCCCTTCCCTGAGATGACCTGCGGCTATTTAATTCACCTGGTATTCTGCCAAAAAAAAACTTTGTGGTTTATTGGTGTTGAAGTAAAACATGAGACGAGGTTTAAGAATTTATGTTAAACGCCATCGAAATGATCGTTAAAATGGTAGTTCCTTAGTGGTGCACCCCCTCCTAAGAAAAATCCTGGATCCGCTCCTGTTTTCACTAAATGCTGCGCGGCCATGAGCACATCTCCTGAAACTAATGTTAGAGATGTAATCTACCTTTACAAGGTTAATCTGCCTTTATCATAAGTTTTAATGAGATGAGGGGCCTGGGGTAAGACATTAAATATGATTTCGGCAACATACACTATCGTGCTGTACTGCTGATACTGAAGCCGAAGAATTTAACGGTTTACCATTGTTCTTGCAAAGTTTATTGGTCTCTGATATGGCCGCTATATCTTCGGGTTCGCATTCACCTCTTATTTTGATATCACTTTCAATCAACCTAGCTGTCCGGCTTTGTTTTAAACGTGTTACTTGTACGTCAGGCAACTTTGCAATGACAGCATCGATGAAGTATTCCTTGCCATTAGTCTGGGGCTATACAACATTTTTATTGACACCAACGAAGTACTCTGCTATTTTTCTTGGCGGCTTGTTCCCTTCTTCAAAATCTCTCTCAAGCTTTTTAGTTCTTTTCAAATGCGCACTGGTGTAGTTGCTGCTTTCGAGGTGATTATTTTTTATGCGCTTTAACTCTTCGAATTTATTTCCTAGTGCCTCACTCGATGAAAGGGTTTCAACTGAACACTCTGTTTCCGAGCCGGTTACATCATCTACACAACGTTTATATTGTGCTAGATAATATTTCAGATAGTTTAGGTGGTCATTGAGTCCAGGATGAACAATACACTTTGCCTTTTCTGAGTTCATTACATGATCACAGGACAAAGCATAATAAGTGCTACCGTCTTTCACAATAGCACCTAGTGTCCCCTAATGCTTTCTTTCCCTGTACGCCAATGCTTGCTCCTAAACAAAGCACGTCGCTTGGCTCTTTTGCCTCTGTTGGCCGTTTACCTGCTCTTATCCAAAATCCATTCACAACATCAACGGGGTAACCCTCAAAAGCATTTGGTAACGCAAGCTCGCCAACTGGAATAAAGCCTTTACCGAGCACATAAATCGCAATACAAGGCTAATCTGTTTGCGTGGAATCTGTGATTTTGAAAGAGGCCTGCACATAGGTAACATTGCGATGCTTAGACAGTTCAGGAAGCTTGTTTTCAAACACTTGATTCATTTCGTCAACCTGAGAAGCAGTCAGTGGTGTGGGTTTGCCAAATGGATACTTGAGTCGTTGAACATTCAGTATGTTGACGCTGTCGTTATACAGATCTGACCATTCCAGCTTTACATGCATATCTTCGAAAAACGTTTGGGCTTCTTTCCTTAAATCTTTGGGAATACCAGACTCACCACTATAGACATAAAACTGAACCACAATCTGACCATCCTTTGTATACGGCAACAAACGAATGCATTCCTCGTGCTTACCTTCAAACATCATGGTTGCTGCACGAATGTCTGTCACTCCACTTGCCATAGGCAGTTCACCTGGATCCATGGAAATGTTGTCGTAAGGGTCCTCAACGGATTCTCCCTTATATGCGTTCTCGGTTAAGACTCGGTTAAGACTTGGTTCAGGAACAATAATTTGCAACACATCTGTTAAAAAGAAAAGATAATTTTCTATGAGCGTCGACCATAACTTTTTAGGGGCGCACCAGGGGGCGAGGAGGGTGGAGGGGGCAGGGGGTACGCTTTCCCTTCCCTGACATGAAATGCAGCTTTTTAATTTAACTGGTATTCTGCCAAAAAAAAAACTTTGTGGTTTATTGGTGTTGAAGTAAAACATGAGACGAGGTTTAAGAATTTATGTTAAACGCCATCAAAATGATCGTTAAAATGGTAGTTCCTTAGTGGTGCACCCCCTCCTAAGAAAAATCCTGGATCCGCTCCTGTTTTCACTAAATGATGCGCGGCCATGGGCACTTCTCTTGAAACTAATGTTAGAGATGTAATCTATCTTTACAAGGTTAATCTGCATTTATCATAAGTTTTAATGAGATGAGGGGCCTAGGGTAAGACATTAAATATGATTTCGGAAACATACACCATCGTGCATGTACTGCTGATACTAAAGCCGAAGAATTTAACGGTTTACCATTGTTCTTGCAAAGTTTATTGGTCTCTGATATGGCCGGTATATCTTCGTGTTCGCATTCACCTCTTATTTTGATATCATTTTCAATCAACCTAGCTGTCCCGCTTTGTTTTGAACGTGTTACTTCTTTGTCAGCCAACTTTGCAATGGCAGCATCCATGAAGTATTCCTTGCCATTAGTCTGGGGCCATACAACATTTTTATTGAAACCAACGAAGTACTCTCCAATTTCTGTTGGCGGCTTGTTCCCTGCTTCAAAATCTTTCTCAAGCTTTGTAAGTCTTTTCGAATCCGCACTGGTGTAGTTGCTGCTTTTGGGATGATTATTTTTTATGCGATCTAGCTCTTCGAATCTATTTCCTTGTGCCTGACTCGATGAAAGGGTTTCAACTGCACACTGTGTTTCCGAGCCGGTTACATCATCTACACAACGTTTATATTGTGGTAGATAATATTTCAGATAGTTTAGATCGTCATTGAGTCGAGGATGAACAATACACCTTGACTTTTCTGAGTTCATTACATGATCACAGGACAAAGCATAATAACTGCTACCGTCTTTGACAATAGCACCTAGTGTCCCCGATACTTTCTTTCCCTGTACGCCAATGCTTGCTCCTAGACAAAGCACGTCGCTTGGCTCTTGTGCCTCTGTTGGTTGTTTACCTGCTTTTATCGAAAATCCATTCACAACATCCACGGGGTAACCCTCAAATGCATTTGGAAACTTACGCTCGCCAAATGGAATAAAGCTTGCCATATGCAGTTCACCTTGATCCATGGAAATGTTGTCGTAAGGGTCTTCAACGTATTCTCCCTCATGTGCGGAGTCGGTTACGACTCGATTAAGACTTATTTCAGGAAAAATAGTTTGCGACACATCTGTTAAAAAGAAGAGATAATTTTGTATGAGCGTCGACAATAATTTTATTCTTCAGGGGCGCATAAGGGGGGGGGGGGTACAGGGGGCAGGGGGTACGCATTCCCTCCCCTGAGATGACCTGCGGCTTTTTAATTCAACTGGTATTCTGCCAAAAAAAAACTTTGTGGTTTATTGGTGTTGAAGTAAAACATGAGACGAGGTTTAAGAATTTATGTTAAACGCCATAAAAATGATTGTTAAAATGGTAGTTCCTTAGTGGTGCACCCCCTCCTAAGAAAAATACTGGATCCGCTCCTGTTTTCACCAAATGCTGCCCGGCCATGGGCACATCTCCTGAAACTAATGTTAGAGATGTAATCTACCTTTACAAGGTTAATCTGCGTTTATCATAAGTTTTAATGAGATGAGGGGCCTAGGGTAAGACATTTAATATGAGTTCGGTAACATGCACCATCGTGCATGTACTGCTGATACTGAAGCCGAAGAATTTAACGGTTTACCATTGTTCTTGCAAAGTTCATTGGTCTCTGATATGGCCGGTATATCTTCGGGTTCGCATTCACCTCTTATTTTGATATCACTTTCAATCAACCTAGCTGTCCAGCTTTGTTTTGAACGTGTTACTTCTTCGTCAGGCAACTTTGCAATGGCAGCATCCATGAAGTATTCCTTGCCATTAGTCTGGGGCCATACAACATTTTTATTGAAACCAACGAAGTACTCTCCAATTTTTGTTGGCGGCTTGTTCCCTTCTTCAAAATCTTTCTCAAGCTTTGTAAGTCTTTTCGAATCCGCACTGGTGTAGGTGCTGCTTTTGGGATGATTATTTTTTATGCGATCTAGCTCTTCGAATCTATTTCCTTGTGCCTCACTCGATGAAAGGGTTTTAACTGAACACTCTGTTTCCGAGCCGGTTACATCATCTACACAACGTTTATATTGTGGTAGATAATATTTCAGATAGCTTAGATCGTCATTGAGTCGAGGATGAACAATACACCTTGACTTTTCTGAGTTCATTACATGATCACAGGACAAAGCATAATAACTGCTACCGTCTTTGACAATAGCACCAAGTGTCCCCGATGCTTCCTTTCCCTGTACGCCAATGCTTGCTCCTAGACAAATCACGTCGCTTGGCTCTTGTGCCTCTGTTGGTTGTCTACCTGCTCTTATCCAAAATCCATTCACAACATCCACGGGGTAACCCTCAAATGCATTTGGAAACGCAAGCTCGCCAAATGGAATAAAGCTTGCCATATGCAGTTCACGTTGACCCATGGAAATGTTGTCGTTAGGGTCTTCAACGGATTCTTCGTCATATACCGACTTGGTTAAGCCTTGGTTAAGACTTATTTCAGGAACAATAATTTCCAACACATCTGTTAAAAAGAAGAGATAATTTTGTATGAGCGTCGACGATAATTTTACTTTCCAGTGGCGCATAAGGGGGGGGGGGGTGCAGGTGGGAGGGGGTACGCTTTCCCTCCCCTAAGATGACCTGCCGCTTTTCAATTCAACTGGTGTTCTGCCAAAAAAAAACCTTGTGGTTTATTGGTGTTGAAGTAAAACATGAGACGAGGTTTAAGAATTTATGTTAAACGCCATCAAAATGATCGTTAAAATGGTAGTTCCTTAGTGGTGCACCCCCTACTAAGAAAAATCCTGGATCCGCTCCTGTTTTCACTAAACGCTGCGCGGTCATGGGCACATCTCCTGAAACTAATGTTAGAGATGTAATCTATCTTTACAAGGTTAATCTGCGTTTATCATAAGTTTTAATGAGATGAGGGGCCTGGGGTAAGGCGTTAATTATGATTTCGGCAACATAGACCATCTTGCATGTACTGCTGATCGTGAAGCCGAAGAATTTAACGGTTTACCATTGTTCTTGCAAAGTTTATTGGTCTCTGATATGGCTGGTATATCTTCGGGTTCGCATTCACCTCTTATTTTGATATCACTTTCAATCAACCTAGCTGTCCCGCTTTGTTTTAAACGTGTTACTTCTTCTTCAGGCAACTTTGCAATTGCAGCATCGATGAAGTATTCCTTGCCATTAGTCTCGGGCCACTTTCCTATTTTTCTTGGCGGCTTGTTCTCTTCTTCAAAATCTTTCTCAAGCTTTTTAGTTCTTTTCAAATCCGCACTGGTGTAGTTGCTGCTTTCGGGGTGATTATTTTTTATGCGCTTTAGCTGTTCGAATTTATTTCCTAGTTCCTCACTCGATGAAAGGGTTTCAACTGAACACTCTGTTTCCGAGCCGGTTACATCGTCTACACAACGTTTATATTGTGGTAGATAATATTTCAGATAGTTTAGGTGGTCATTGAGTCCAGGATGAACAATACACTTTGCCTTTTCTGAGTTCATTACATGATCACAGGACAAAGCATAATAAGCGCTACCGTCTTTCACAATAGCACCAAGTGTCCCCGATGCTTCTTTTCCCTGTACACCAATGCTTGCTCCTAGACAAAGCACGTCGCTTGGCTCTTGTGCCTCTGTTGGTTGTTTACGTGCTTTTATCCAAAATCCATTCACAACATCCACGGAGTAACCCTCAAATGCATTTGGAAACTTACGCTCGCCAAATGGAATAAAGCTTGCTATATGCAGTTCACCTTGATCCATGGAAATGTTGTCGTTAGGGTCTTCAAGGGATTCTCCCTCATGTGCGGACTGGGTTAAGACTCGGTTAAGACTTATTTCGGGAACAATAATTTGCAACACATCTGTTAAAAAGAAGAGATAATTTTGTATGAGCGTCGACAATAATTTTATTTTTCAGGGGCGCAGAAGGGGGGGGGGGGGGTGCAGGGGGTACGCATTCCCTCCCCTGAGATGACCTGCGGCTTTTCGATTCAACTGGTATTCTGCCTAAAAAAAACCTTGTGGTTTATTGGTGTTGAAGTAAAACATGAGACGAGGTTTAAGAATTTATGTTAAACGCCATCAAAATGATCGTTTAAATGGTAGTTCCTTAGTGGTGCACCCCCTCCTAATAAAAATCCTGGATCCGCTCCTGTTTTCACTAAATGCTGCGCGGCCATGGGTACATCTCCTGAAACTAATGTTAGAGATGTAATCTATCCTTACAAGGTTAATCTGCATTTATCATTAGTTTTAATGAGATGAGGAGCCTGGGGTAAGGCGTGAAATATGATTTCGGCAACATAGACCATCGTGTATGTACTGCTGATACTGAAGCCGAAGAATTTAACGGTTTACAATTCTTCTTGCAAAGTTTATTGGTCTCTGATATGGCTGGTATATCTTCGGGTTCGCATTCACCTCTTATTTTGATATCACTTTCAATTAAACTAGCTGTCCGGCTTTGTTTTGAACGTGTTACTTCTTCGTCAGGTAACTTTGCAATGGCAGCATCGATGAAGTATTCCTTGCCATTAGTCTGGGGCCATACATTTTTATTGACACCAACGAAGTACTCTCCTATTTTTCTTGGTGGTTTGTTCCCTTCTTCAAAAGCTTTCTCAAGCTTTTCAATTCTTTTTAAATCCGCACTGGTGTAGTTGCTGCGTTCGGGGTGATTATTCTTTATGTGCTTTAGCTCTTGGAATTTATTTCCTAGTGCCTCACTCGATGAAAGGGTTTCAACTGAACACTCTGTTTCCGAGCCGGTTACATCATCTGCACAACGTTTATATTGTGCTAGATAATATTTCAGATAGTTTAGGTGGTCATTGAGTCCAGGATGAACAATACACTTTGCCTTTTCTGAACGACAATGATGACCATGCCTGTGAACCCAATAGCATCACAGTGCAAAATAAACTTATCGGAAAAATACTGCCCGTGAATAAATTTACAACTCTGAAATTTTTGTGACTCCTTCCTTCAATGAATGGGTATTTTGTTCTTGATTGTTATGTTTTGCTCTGCAATACATGTTTATACAGATCGGTTCACAGACATGGGCATCATTGCCATTCGTCCCCCCTGGCTGAGGTGGGAATTCCTCGCAGAGCTGCCGCTCGTGCTCGTTTTCTGGTCAGAAACAAAGGTGCTGGACAGTTCTATCTGAGCTTCGATACAAGGTAGCTTACAATCCCAATACCTTTTTCCTGAATTGGAAACAACGAACAGCAGGAAAAGCCGTTGAGGATGCATTGCAATACATCAAAATATATGTAGCAGGAGTTTGAACCAAAACTGCCAAGGGATATTTTAAAAATGTCGAGGAACAAGTCATTCGATGTCAAAGCAAAGTTTGGAGCAATTTATAGTGCTTTTAAAACTGAAAAGTACCTTTTAAAGAATAGCACGATAGGCAATCGGCTTCTGTTTTCAGAATTAGGAAACACTGAATTTACTTGTCCCGAAAATTGAAACTGGTGTCTCCTTCTTCCTGATAGTAATCTATTTTTTAAATTCCAAAACAATTTCACAGCTGAATTTTGAGCGACTTTTAGTTACGGACTTCTCCTCCAACGATTTTTCTGAAATTCCTCTGGCATATTTATTATATCAATTAAAGCCGATACCAGAAATTTCAGTAAAAAATATCAGCAAAATTTTTTACTAGGAGCGATTTTCTTTGAACAGTAGGGTCCTTTTGAGCGCTAATTTCTCAAGAAATATTTACCATTAATGAAATCGGAATATTTCGTATTATTGCTAAATGATATCGTTGTTTTTGCAAAGTTTCGCAGTCATCGCGTTAAAATCGAAAAAGTTGTGACGGAAAACTTGTCACAGCTAAATGCTCTTGTATTAATTACGGAGCCATCTTAATGTAAATCCGTTAGCTCAATGAAAGAGTTATTTCAGTCAGTATAGACGGGAGCTTCGCTTTTACGCTTAGCCAACTGTATATGTTGTGGTTCAATTTTATTTTATTTTGTTTTTGGGTATGGTAATGTATGATAATGAGTTTGAAACAAAAGAAATAAAATTTAAACCAAGGATAAAACTGAACCACAACATATCCTTTGCCTCTAGTTTTAACCAAAAGCTCCTTTTTTTATGAACACCTTTGATACCCTGCTCTCCATGCATTTCAAAGTCGTAACATATCATTTTACCTACAGTATTAAGTAATGAAGGCATTAGCAATAAAATCACTAATAATAATAATAATAATAATAATAATAATAACAATTATTATTATAATTATTATTATTCACAACTCTAAGAACAATTTAAGGAAGTTTACTTCTTAAGGACAGAGTTCCCTGAAAGCAAAACCCGTTGTTTATGATTCTTTTTTTGTAGCAGCCAAGTCAAAGACTTCTCGGAAATGCTCAAATAAAAATTGATTAATATCTGTTATCAATTCAGCTCAAGAAAACTACATGAACTTCAAGTCCTGTAAGCAGGTTCAATAAAGATTGCCCCCCAAAAAATGATTGGACCTGACCTCTGCACTGCAAAGCAGCTACAGTCAGACATCTGATTGGTAGACAAAACTTCCGTTTCCCAGTAACATTAATTTATATTGCATGCAGGGCACAGAAACAGCATAGATTACTAAACATATCATTAAAGGGCTTGCCTAAGGTGACTTTCCTTTGTTCAAAGTTCAAAGTTTGTTACGCGGGTAATCTTTTAGAGGACAGGTGGCTTGCAAACTAAACTGAACGCAGGGTTGTCGGAACAGCAACAAGAAGATTTATTCCAAAAAAAATGAACGTAGTTTCCATGAAATAAAACTCCACAACAGCACGTAACTCATTAAACTTACACGGCCTCCGCCAACTTCAATTAACTTGATAAACTTACACGGCCTCCGCCAACTTGAATAAACACTGCTTTCGTCACACTTGACTAAACACGAGTAACGTCAAACTCCCTTCGCTTGTGAAAACTAGATAACACTTCGTTTGGATTCGCCTACTTATATACTTTTACGATAAAATTCTAGAACTTTCCAAATAGTCTAATTATAGAAAGATTACAAAATATACCACTTTAGAAACGCTTACACAATATCCTAAAATAAACAAACTAATGAACTCTCGCGAAGCTTCTACAATGTCACGTTTAAAAGTCACGCAATGCAATTTTTCGTAACATAGCCCGGCCTCTTTCAAAAGAAATTCCCTAAATTTCTCCTAACCAAGAAAAAATTGCTAAATAAGGAGCAGTTCAATGTCAATAAACTTATTCTTCAGCTCTACTCAAGTAATTTGCTCCAACGTTCTCTGAGCCTTTGATAGCTTCCACCTTGAAATTGTAACTTTGTAGAAACATCGCCCATCGCGTGAGTCGTGCGTTGGTATATTTTGCGCTGTCCATGTACTTCATCGGCTCGTGGTGAACCAGTATATCATCCCAGTAGAAATCGACATCATCTAGATCTTCTATCAATTTCTTCATTGCACGCTTCAATGTGGCCGCCGAGTTAATCATTCCAAACGGCATCTTTAAAAACTCGTACCACCTGTCAGGTGTTACGAACGCAGTTTTCGGTATGTCCTCCTCTGGTATAGTTATCTGCCAATATCCTTTGCTAAGGTCAATTTTTGAAAAGAATTTGTCTCCGCTAAGCTTCTGGAACAAATGTTCAGCAGTTGGCATAGGCTCAGGATCAAGTAAAGGCCTAAGTAACTCAGGCGAAATGACCGGTTACCAACGTGAGGTCGACAAGTCCTTTCCGCTTCGTTGATCTGAGTGATTTGCATTCTTTGTGGGTAAGCCTGATTTTGCAAAATTTTCTTTCTTTTAAAACTGCTTAAATAATTATGAAATTCACTGCAAGGATCATGAAACGTATCTTCATGTGTTTCATTCCTTTTCCACAAGATAAAGTCTATCACCAAATGGATCCAACGACTTACAGAAATATTAACGCATTTAACTCTCAAACTAGTTACAACCTCAGCTTAGCTTGTAACAAGAAACAAGGACGAAGATGATTACAGATCGTTATCTAAATTTTCGTCAATAACATTTCCATTGTTTCAGCAATTGCAAGTTGTATAAATAAATTTAGCCGTATCCGTTAATGTAATTAGGGAGATTAAGCAACGGCGACGGCAATAGCAACGAGACCGGCAAAAAAGCAATAGGTTTATCTTAGCAAAACAACGACTTTACACGTGCATAACGCTTTTTGTACGTGAAAGTGCCTAATTTCACGTTTTGTCAAGGACGGAAACATAAACAAGCGTGATAAAGTTTGAGGCAGCGCAAATTCACTTTTAAGTGACGTTTTTGTAGCCGTCGCCGTCTTTGTTGCTTAAGCTCCCTAATACATGTAAGCGGAAAGATTGCTTCTGCTAGCGAGAGGAAACTGCTAGACTACCGAGTAGAGTCCCGCCCTGACCGCTAGCTGGATTTGTTCTCAGTATTCCTGAGTTCAAATCTTCTGCCATGCTTGTAAATAACCAACTGGTTGCCTCCTTATTTGTCTCTGATCATTTGCGTAAAGTGCATGTAAACTAGCTGGATAGGCTAAGTGCACTTTCCACTGTAGACAAACCTTTAACAACGCCGTTAGTTTATTTAATTTCCGATAATCAACGCACACGCGGTTTGTGTTGTCTTTTTTCTTCGTAGTCATTGAGACCTACTACTGAACTAACTTCAAAGGGACATTTCCACTACATAAGTAACTTGTTATGGTCGGTAGGTAGCAGCACAAGCACTGACTCACCTGGTTGAAACTTCCTAACTTTAGACTTGCGGTCGTAATAGTGTTTTCCTTTCTGCTGGGCTTTCTCCAATTCACTATGGGCGAGTTTAACAGTATCTTCTAACTTCTCCCGCAACTCGAAAACGTACTGGTAACTGTTCTTTACTTCAGGCTCCTCAACTTCCTTCGTCCACAGCTGTTTGAGTATAGTCATTGGTCCTCTAACAGCTCGAACGGCGAAAAACCAGTGAACTCTTGGGGGACTTCACGATAAGCAAACAACAGTGGGTTTATATAGGGATGCCACTGTCTTGGCTGCTCACTACACAGTCTCTTTAGCATAGACTTCATCATTCCGTTGAACTTCTCCGTCAAACCGTTACACATCGGGTGATAGGGTGTTGTTGTCAGCTGTTTAATGCTTAGTAGTCGAGTGACTTCTCTCATGCAATCACAAGCAAATTGTGTGCCCAGATCGCTCAGGATCTCTTCGGGTACTCCGAGACGGCTGAAGATATCTACCAATGCCTCTGCTACAGTCTCCGTATCAATGTTCTTTAGTGGTACAGCCTCAGGGTAGAGTAAAGGGTAAAAATCTACCAGCGTCAATATGTACCTGAGTCCGTTTTCACTTGGAGGACTGATAGGCCCAACAAGGTCTATTGCTACTCTCTTAAAGGGTTTGTCAATCAGCAACATCTTTTCTAACGGTACCTTCGGCACTGATTCCTTACTTACAGTCGTCTGACAAACATCACAGGACTTGCCAAATCGAGTCACGTCATCTTGAATTCCAGGCCAATAGAACGCATTCTGCATCTTGTCTGTTGTTTTCTTTATGCCCATGTGACCACCAATGATTGATCCGTGAGTTACTTCCATTATGGGGCGTCTCAACTTTTCAGGTACCATGACCTGTTTAAGCGCTTTACCACCATTCACATAAGGGTGCTTGTACAGACGGTACAGTACTCCACATTTTTCTTCAAATGCAATCTCCGCCTGACCCTTAACTAGCACATTGTCTCGATCCCAGTACTTGCGCAGACTCTAATCTTCACGCTGCATCTGCTTGAGCTTCTCTCTATCCACAATAGGGCTCTCACGGCTACTTGGCACTTTCAAGGCTGTGCGTTCATCCTTTTTCTTAACTTGACTTCTTGTAGCTACTGCACGGGCCTCTTGCCAACTGGGTCGTAGACAGGATCTGAAAGGCACTGGGCTTCTACGTGGTCCTTAAGATAAGGCGTATCAACATAAATTCTTGCTATGGGCACCTTCCCTGCAGTGTTGTTAATAAGCAGCATAACGTTTAAGTCTCCGGTGAACTGATCCTCGCCAACAAGGTCCTTGACTACAACTCCACTGCAACCAGTATCTCCCAAAACGTCAACAGTCTTTTCTCCAACTCTACCCTTTACAACGGGCATCTTACTTCTTACTCCAGTTAAGGGTTCAACACAGGCATTACTCCGCAACGGGACTTTCTTGCCACAGGCTAACAGAAGCTGATCATTTTGAATACACGACTTGACTTCCTCGGGGGTAGCGTTAAGATCGCGTGACTTAACCAAACAGCCAGCACTAACTTGACCACGTTGCACAGGGTTACCATCCTTACCTTGGCCTCCTGACTTTCGTCCACCTCACTTCATGACCTTGCTTGCCACACAGGAAAGACCTTTTAGTTAGAGTTGGGCAGTTAATAGCTTTGTGTCCGCGGGCATTACACTTGTCACACGGTAGGGCTGTTGCGTCACTCTGTGTAGTCTTTGTTTCCTCCGCCTTGGGCTGTACTTGTGGCTTCTTGCTCCCGGAGCTGAACAGATGCTTTCCGTGTGCTTCTAAGTATTGATCAGCGATCTTCGCTATCTGAACCAGCGTTTCCGGGGCTCTTTCACGAGGGTGAATAGCTAGCTCTTTTGGGCAAGCGTCAATAAACTGTTCTTTCACAATTAAATCTTTCAAGCCTTCAAAAGATTGTTCAGTGTTAGACACTTCTAACCACCGCAACAAGTATCTATCCAGTCTCACTATAACCTGTTCAGGACTCTCGTCAACTTCCGGCTTTGATGCTCTAAATTTACGACGATAGCCGTGCTCTGTAAGGTCATATCTCTTCATGAAAGCTAACTTCACTCGGTCATAATCATGGGCTGCTTCCTCAGATAATCGCGATAAACCTCTAGGGCACGTCCAGACAAAAGAGCACTAAGTTTCGAAGCCCATCCTGTCTTCTCCCACTTAACTGTAGTTGCGAATCTCTCAAATCGTTGTAGGTAAGCATCCAAGTCGTCCTTGCCATCAACAAATGAGGGAAGCTTGGGTGCCTTGGCCCTATCCTCTCTCACTTCAGCACGTTCGGTATCGTTACGGCCTTGTGCTAGACGAGCGAGCTCTAGTTCATACTCTCTCTTAGCGGCTTCAATAGCCTCTCCGTGTTTCAACAGGTCTGCTTCCAGCTCTCATTTTCTCAGTTCGCGTTCTTCCCGCCTAGTTTCTCTTTCTTCGTCTTCTCTTCTCCTATCTTCTTTAAGTAATCGACGTTTCTCCTCTTTTTGTTCTTCTAACAATCTACGCTTTTCTTCTTTTTCCTCTTCCAATTGTCTACGTTTTTCTTTTTTCTCTTCCTCCTCCCTCCTTCTTTCTTCCTCAAGTTTTCGACGTTTTTCTTCTTTTTCTTCTTCTTCCCTCCTTCTTTCTTCTTTTAACTTTTGTTGTTTTTCTACAAACTCGAGCAGCTTTTCTCCCTCCAATCCGAATTCTTTCCCTATCTGCAAAAGCTTTTCCATTTCCACAGCAGTAGTTAACAGCAAACACACTCGATATACTTCCTCGTAGCAGTTCTTCTTCCTTTCACTGTAACTCCTTCTTCTTAAACTGTCCTTTCCTGGTTACTGTAGTCGGCAAACAATTGAATTCCTCTCCCGGACAGGCCCCCAATGTTATGCGGGTAATCTTTTAGAGGACGGGTAGCTTGCAAACTAAACTGAACGCAGGGTTGTCGGAACAACAACAAGAAGATTTATTCCAAAAAAATTAACGTAGTTGCCACGAAATAAAACTCCACAACAGCACGTAACTCGTTAAACTTACACGGCCTCCGCCAACTTCAATTAACTTGATAAACTTACACGGCCTCCGCCAACTTGAATAAACACTGCTTTCGTCACACTTGACTAAACACGACTAACGTCAAACTCCCTTCGCTCGTGAAAACTAGTTAACACTTCGCTTGGATTCGCCTACTTATATACTTTTAAGATAAAATTCTAGAACTTTCCAAATAGTCTAATTATAGAAAGATTACAAAATATACCGCTTTAGAAACGCTTACACAATATCCTAAAATAAACAAACTAATGAACTCTCGCGAAGCTTCTAGAATGTCACGTTTAAAAGTCACGTAATGCAATGTTTCGTAACAAAGTTAGTGCACAGTCATTGTCGCTTTGGTTAGGTGATGCTCATGGAGCACTGGTCGCTTCTCTTATTAGCTAGGCTGCACGTATTATTTTGCCAACTTTGATATCATTTGAAAAAAGCGTCTCACCTGACATTTTCCGCTTAAACAAAGTAACCTGGGCACGTAAGAATGGATCATGCTGAGAAGCGCCCCTACTTGTGATTGGTCACGTATTGACAATAGACCATATTCGTATTCCGCGACGATCCTGGGACGAGAGACTTCGCAGCATGATTGCGAGGCTAATTGGGAGAACCTCTTGGCGAAAACGCAAACAAACATCAGTAAATTGCGGCTGAGTCGCTGAAAAACTATAGAAATCAGAAAAAACTGCAAGATTTAAAAGCTCAAACATAAAAGGTAAGCTGAAGGGATACCTGTTTCAATTAACAAAACTGTGGGAAGAGCCGTTCGTAGTAACAGCAAAATTAAAAAGCCACCAAGGCAAAAGAAGAAACAAGAAGTAATCTAGAAAATGGTAAATTGTGTCATAATGTCAATATTCGAATCCTCTTAATATAATTTTGCAATTATAACTTTTTTCACTTGTACCTGTAAAATGGAGTTTAAACTGCTCAGTAGTATCGTCTTTACAAAACTCCGCATTCAAGTGCGTGCATGTTTTTGTGCTCTCACACAGTCGTGATCGAAGATGTTGACAAATAATGTAACCTAAATTTGTAAATAAACTTTACCTTTCAAGACATCTTTGTTCAAATCGATTTAAGACGGACTCCACCAGGAAATTGAGTAATTTTAATTCTCAGTAGACAAAAATCTTGTACCAAAATAATCTTAAGAATACTACATTCTTTTTTACATTTTTCAAGGGCTAAAGATGCAAGTAGTCATCTGAAATGACACGAAAGAAAATTGCTCATGAGAGTCTGAGAAAATGAATGTCAAATTTCACAAGAATTGTGTAAACACAGGAAAAATTCTGAAAATTTCATTTGTAAGATGTAATTTTGTGAACTTTGACATTCATTTTCTCGGGCTCCATAAGAAATTTTCTTTGGTGTTATTACAAAAGACTAATTACATCTTTAACCCTTGAAAAATGTAAAAGAGAATGCAATACGCTTTAAATTATTCCGGTACAAGGTTTTTGTCCACTAAAATTACTCAATTTCCTGGTGGATTGCGTCTCAACTTCCTTAAAATTCAAGGACTGTGTGCAGAACGCTAGGCCCCGTCCTGACAAGTAATTATCCACCGAACATAATTGTTCGGTTAACTTCAAAGGCACAAGATTTTGAATCCGCTCCGTTAGAACATTTCAACTGCAAAGTAGGTGTGATAACATCACTGTTAACTTTAATGCCGACTTTCGATAGGTACGTTCATTTCAATAAAAAGTATTCTTCAAAAAGTTTTGAGGACACTAAAAAATGTAAAATTAAAATGGCCTCGGGGATTTTGAGAACACCTTTGCGTTATTATTAAATTATAAACTCGCTCACCGAGCACTCTTCCTTCTTCTCTTAAGGATCGCTGTTTTTCTCAGTAATAACGAGCACACCTTCCTTTTGTTGTTTGAAATAATGATCTCTCAAGTATGCAAGCCCTCCGTAGCTTTACAACGTTAAAAATTTTCCTTAAATTGGGCAAACTCGGTCGCAGTTTTCTCATATTTGCTTGTCCCCTTGGCGAAAATGTCCCAGCATTAGCCTCGGGAGTCGCACTCATGCTCGAGGCCTACTCGTCTTAGGACCGTCTGGGAATGCGAATTTTGTCTATTGACGTTAACGGATTAGATAAAGAAATTGGTGGGCTGAATACAAAATCCCCGGCCCTTATAACAGGCGCTCCCTTCCCTTTTTCCTTTCGCACTTTTCTTCCTCTCTCCCTCCCCCTCCCCTCAACAACAACAACAACAACACTTTATTTCACCCCATAATATAGTTTAGTGGTTTAGTTTGCTACTCAGCCAGGTGGACTGAGTATAACCTTGAAAGGTCATCTGTTTCTATTAGGTTTTCACTGATAAGATATCCAGTCATAGACAGGCCTCAGATAAACAGTCAGTTCATACAGCAGGGTTGACGATATGTTGAAGTTTGAAACTTGGTACAAAGGAAAAACTCTGTTGTCCGTATTACGCGGGTTAATTTTCAAGAAAATATACGTGCTTTTGGTCAGGACAAACGAAACTGTCTCTAAAATACGGGTGTCCATAGAGTGGGGTTTCACTGTATCTAAGTCTTTGCTGCTTACCAAATTGCCTAAATCTAGGAAGTGGCCGCAGATTGCCATATTTTCCCGCGAGAATGACGCACTACGGGTTTCGACGTGTTCTCTCAGTACGGCTTTTGCGCCAGATTAATTTGGGCGTTTTAATATGCATCTAAGAATCACCTATTCTCCTTAAGTCCCCAGTCGACTTAGTGAAGATCAAATTAAATTAATTCTTTACTCACTAAGCAGCATTTCAGCGACGTCCTCTCTTCCCAATTTCTCCATAACATCTGCCAGTCTGCCAACACTAGCATTATTCCCCTCCAAAAATTTCCAGGACTTCAAAACGTCCATTGCTTTATCTCGATTACTTGCTGCATTTCTGTTACTACTGTATTTCTCGACCAGATGTCACTGAATAAAAAAAAGAGTTATCGTTATGTGTTGTTAACATCCCTTTCAAAAGCATCCACATGTGGGAAACTCTGGTTGTATGCTATTTACATAGGCAAACTAGTTCGTTCACGGTTTGGGCAAATGTTATGCAAAATTCAGGACTAGTAAATTTCATCCCCGAATCGTGTTTACCTTGCACTTGCACAAATAAATTCCATTCACCGCAAAAAGGGCACGAAAATCTGAAAAGTACTGGCACCAAAGATGGCTTTGAAGAACTATAAAACACGAATTTCCGTTTGGAACATTCCATCAGGAAAAACAGGACTGACTTTTCAGACGTTCCCTGGCTCCTGGAAATTTTCCACTAAAACGACCCGAAAAGTCGTGTTCCATTTTCTTTCAAAAGGAATTTTTCAGAAACCTTCTGTAAATGGTTAACAACCCTTGGGCATCAATCAACAAGCTGTAGCCCATATTTCGCGCAATTTTGATCAGAAATTAAATGGAACGGATTATTTCGGGTTTGACCGTTGGACAGATATGTTGTCGAAATCGTTGTTCACTATGGCAGACATTGGTGAGGATCTGTACGAATCGGGCCTCCATTTGTGAGTATAAAATAGCACAATTATCTTTCTTATGTGACCCTGCTGAACAATCTAGGTCGATGAGTTTAGAATGATTTGGTGAATGAATTTGCCATTTCTATGACGATTTCTGTTTTGTTTTAGCTTTTGTTGTGTTTGTATTTGCATGAGCAAACGCACGGAACGCACGCTGGCCTGGGTCAGGTCTGTGCAACAGGAATGTATCATTCCCTCCACTGGACACGCAGAATGTCCGAAATTTCAAACCGGAAGTTTTGTTGAACGGAAAGCGCCAGAAAACGTTTACGGCCCTCGCTCCCCAATCAGCAATCCAGAAAAAATAGACTGCGTACAAAAGTCTCATATTTTGTCCCTAACCTCTTCAAATTATTCTATCTTCAGTAAGCAATTAGGAAAACAAGAGTGGCTTTGCAGCTGGGCTGATGTGGTTAGTGCACGAATTGTTGCTAATAGGGGAACTGACTCCATCTCTTAATGGCCAATTGGACACTAATCGATAAAGCAAAACGATTTGCGTGACTTTGCATATTTCATTATTTGTTTGACAGCTGATCGACCAAACAAATTTGAAAATGACGTCACCATGACACCGACAAATCATTCGACTTTCTCTGCATTTTTGACTCTTTTATGTATAAAATTACTTTAACAAGTCTTTTTTAGAAAAATTAAGAATATCTGGAGATGAATTATTATTTTATATTTATAATTTTATAGCGGGGCTCCCGCGCGCGCGAAGCGCGCGTGGGACAGAGCCCCATACTCATGGAATATGGTCAACCTCTTTTCGTTTGGTTGTCACGTGATTGACCGAGCGTACGTACGTACGTACGTACGTACATACGTACGTTCGCGTCTACAGATTGTACGAGTGGGGTAGGAGAGACTATCAAAAGGAAGGGAGGGGTGTCTCAGGCGTGGCTTGGCAAGTCCACATCTTTATTATAGGATTTTAGGGCATTCACAATATGGTCAATTGACAGCTGTCAAAAGAGGATAGCCACTGACCAGTATCCCATGACCATATCGCGGGCTCATGTGTCAACTCATCGAGGTGGAAGCTGTCCGCTGACCAGTTAATTGTTTTACTAGATCGCGAACAATGTTCAATCTCATATTTTTACTAGTTAAACTGATAATGCACACATATTGGACATCAATGTTTTGATCAATTGACAGCTGTCAAAGCAGGGTACCCGCTGAGCAGTATCACTTGACCGTATCGCGGGCTCAGGTGTCGACCCATCGAGGTCAAGTATTTTTTGAAGTTATCCGCTGACAAGTTACTAGTTTTCAAGTGATCGCAGGCTCAAGTTCAAGTTTTTTTCTAAATTCATATGAAATATGTTGTGTTTATGTGCTACACAATTAAAATTTTGATTGCAAACTGACCTCGGACGCGAAAATTCAGCCAGCTGTTACAGGCAGGGAAGACAGTTGCTTTTGACTTTTCTCACCATGGTCACGCGTTGGTCACGCTCTACGTCCAATTTTTATGCTCTGATTGGTCAAAATTTGACAGGTGAGTTCATGCGGCAAATTTATGCAGCATTTTGAATCTTGTTTACTTTGACAGCTGAAGCTGACAGAGTTTTGTGTCAACTTGTGATGTTTTTAACTGTCTTTTTCCACTGGATGTGCAAAAAGAAATTCAGCTGCTATCAGGAGTCCTCTGTTATTCATGGCTAGTTTGTTTATTGGGTTTTTGGTTGAGGAATACGTCGCTTGTCAAAGTCGGAAATCCGATTTCGGATGGCATCGTTTTCGTTTTCACCTTGCTTGATGCGTAAGAGGATAGCAAAGTCTGAAGCGATACTGGCTTTTCTTGATACCTTTCAGGAGCTGCATCTCAAATGGTAAGCAAGAGAAATTATTGTATTTGATGTTTGTTTTTTTGGATCTAATTCAATGAAGTCGAGCGGAGTTTATGCGGTCATTTAGTTTATGCACGTTTGTAAGATTTGAGACAATGATCTGACCGAGTATCAGGTTTGATATAAGCTTACAGAACTTTAAAAAGCCTTTAGACAGTTTCTCACCGCAAATAGAAAGAAAACGTTCCAAAGAATATTTAGTTATAATTCTGGCCGGAAAAGAAACTTTTGAGCGATTTTCTTGCCTCGAGTTCGTCTTTGAAAAAAGCAAACACCGGGAAGCCGGCTTAAAACATAAACTTAAGCTTGAAGCTTGAAGACTCAGGATTTTTAGGGATACTTTAATACTTGTCTTCCTGAATGAAAATTGTTGTTTCTGTATATGTTTCACCGAATTATGTTTCTTTTATTGATTGTTAGTAGTCTCTCTTGTAACTTTAATCGCTGTGCCGATTGTTTTCAGTCGTTCAGTGAAGATCGCTTGCAGCAGTACTCAAAATGCCGCGCGTCAATAAACCATTAAATAAAAAATAAACAGAATAAATTCTTTATAATGTTGGAGCGTAACTCTGTTAATGTTCATTCAAACACTCGCCACAGCTCGCACTACAAAAGTGAGAACCGGATGGCCGTATAGGTGATTTTGGAAATTTTTTTAACAGTTTATGAATATTGGATGAGTGCAATTTGTATTGTGAAATACTGCTTTCTGTCCGAGGTCTGCCGGTATGATAAAATCAGTGCCTCATACTACTGTTTCACCTCAGATGTGATGTATAAATGGTATAAAGGTTGGTTTACACGCACCCAGATTTGTTGACAAGATTTTGCAAAGTAAACTTGTCGAACGCAAAAAAGTTGGCCTGATTTTTTTCCCACTAATTAATCTACGGTGATCAAGAGCCATTATGTGACCGAAGATGATTACCAGTTTTTGGGTGTACATATGAGGCTATCAACTCGATGTAAGATTTGACTCACTCTTTGGGCTGTTTGCAAATTATTTTTCTCTAAAATCAGGTAGCCTTTCCCTCAAAAGTCACATAAATGTGCTCTAAAGTTAACTGAATTGTGGAATTCGAATACAAGTTTATTGTTTAATTTAAATTATAAATTTATTAATGGGAGCCTCGCTTTTAGCCCTGGCTAAATCTATATATTAATTATTATTAACGGAAATGAATCTACATCCATACACGTAGTCCACAGTTTACTCTTTCGGCAAGGTTGCATTCATTAAGTGAATTAAATATAACCAGAAAATATAGTCAAATTACATTTAGTCCCAACTCGGCAAAAGTTGGAAAGAGGGAGGGAGATGCGATCACCCTGCCAATAGCGCTTTTCATTAATGACGTCACAAATTGCTGGTTCTTGCTGTGACTCGGACATTGAACAGGATCTGTATAGGAATTTTCTATGGGAAAGTCGCGCTTGCCAGAAAATTTAGGTCGTCTTTAAAGATTTTTATTGTCAAAAGAAATAAAATCCATCTTGGTTTTGTTAACATATATCCAGATGTGTGCCAAGACAACGTTAAACATGGAAATAACTCAAGTACAGATGAGTCATTTTATTCCTAATGCGGTGTCAATACTGTGGATAAAATTATGCCGTTAAAGCATTTTACTAAAAAATGCATGGAGAGCAGGGTGCCAAAGCTGTTCATAAAAAGGTGGATTTGGTTAACATTTAATAGACGTAAAGGATGCTCAGTTTTTTTTTCAAAAGCAAAAGTAGCCTACAAGCAGGCTCACTTGTGTGATGATATATAAATGATGATGATGATGATGATGATGATGATGATGATGATGATGATGATGATGATGATGATGTTGATCATGATCATGATGATTATGATTATGATGATTATGATTATTATGATTATGATTATGATTATGATGATGATGATTATTATTATTATTACAAGTGATATCGGTAAAAGTAAATTGTAATTCTTTTACACTATGTAAAGATTCGAAAAGTGATCACTCTTTTTGATATACAAATCATGTCCGGTGACATACAAATCAGGTGAAAGAGAAAGTAAAATCAACTATTACAACTGATTCTTAAGTCGCGGCACAACCGATTAATAAAATGGATTTACAAAGAGAGATACGTTTTGCTCTTACTGAAAGGAAAACAACAACTTAATAACAGCCTGCAAACCACTAAGCTGAAACTTACGTCATGTTAGGCCCCTTTCAAGGTCTTTCAAACCATAGTTATTAGAGGAGACTGGTTACGAAAAGCGACAAACATCAATGATAAGAACAATAGTGCTGCAGTTTATGTTGAAAGTACCGTGAAAGTGCACAATCCTTTGTTTTCTGTTGGCAAATTGTTACGGAATAAATTAATGCAACGTTTTTATTGGTCAATACAATCAAAATGATAGGAATTCTTTTGAACGTTGTGCACTTTCAGGTCCACAAAAACATATAACAAAGGAGTCTGACGGGTTTCATAACCATTCCACTCAATTAACTACGTTCAAACGAATTTCTTATGAGTGCCGAAAACACCTATTTTAGTCGATGAAAGTAATTAAATACGGCAGTTGATTAAGACGTCGGATATGATGGTGCCGAATTTAACTCCGTTTATTGTCAATATTCCCAGTCTCTAGAAATGTTTTATCCAATATGGATATAAGGGTTTCTATAATTAATGCATTACATTTGGCACATGTGAATTGCGACTTCTAAATCAAATGTTAAACCTAAGTCGAATTTTCGACTGTTTGAGTCGCAGATTTGACAACGTCGTATTTAATTTGAAACTGTCGGATTTAGTTAATTCAGACGTCCAATCTCAAAGCAGTTATCTCTCGAATAAAATTAGGCACATTTGAAAATCGACGATTGAGCTGGGTGATGACAACAGTGTCCAGCATTACTAAAAATGGGTACCCATGGGGTACACGTGCAGGCTAGCAGTAAGTTGTTGTCATTAACCTTGAGATTTTGAGAACTCGCTGTGCTGTAAACTTAGGAAAGGAAAATTTTGTCAGAATGAATACAGGGCAAGTTTGGGTGGTGCAATGAGAGCACAGGGCTTTACTGTAAGTAAAATGAAAGGGGACTCAAAGTCTGCCTAGTTCAAAATTTGGAGTACCCAGCACTAAAGATATGTACAGTGGTTTGTCAAAAATGGGTTACTCGCGTGAGAAGAAAAGTTGGCTTGCACACCTTTCAGCCAAAACCTTTATTTTGCACATCTGACGTTACTTCAGTTTTGTTTGTTTCAAAGAGGACTATAGCGTGCATTTGTATAGAAGAGGTAATAGATTAGACAAGGGATGGTACTGGAATAAGGCTATAATGGAGGTTAAGTATTAAAAAAGGTAGAGTTTGCGTGAAAAGCTGAAATGAGACAAAAATATTTTACAACAAGATGCTTAGAAGCGTTCACGTGGGATACATTGGTGATGCATGCAGCAAATTAAAATTGTTACTGTAGTAAGAACAAAATGTCTGCATGTGTCTCATGTTAGGGTTGGGTCGATAACGGCAAATGATAGGAAAAAAGGGAAAAACAGAAAAACTGTTTAATAATTCAAATACTTTAATTCTCTTGGTGGTCTAAATGGGTATTTTAACAATGGTACTAATCATAGAAACGCTAAGAATTTGCTTGTTTTGGAATTACAAACTGTAACATAACTTGTATAGTAATAACACTGTAGCTAACCGCAACAGAACGAACTAGAGTACAAATACAGTGAACGGCCACCAACTTAGACATGTTTCAATGAACATAATTTTCAAGGAAATCTTAAATGCGTTTAAGATGTTTACGTTCAAATGGAAATAGTTTCACTAAAGACGTGTGATTTGGTAATGTGCGAAGTTCTACTTGAGGGACATTTCTTTTAAGATGAATGTTCTTGAATATTGCAAATGTCAGGGGCACCCAACGTCAATATTCGGAAAATATCTGTTCGGAAGACGATTTGAGATCTAGAATTTTCGGAACATCTGTTGTAAAATTTCTTGCTTGCCTGCCTCTCCTAGGATTTTCGAACATCTAAAAGATGGTGTAATTAACAATTATTCGCAGAAGGCGAGGTTAATATTGTTGAATAATCCCCTCGACTTCGTCTCGGGGATTATTCAACAATATTAACTGAGCCTGAGGTGAATAATTGTTTTAGTATATTCACACAAACTGAATCTCAACAGAATCAGAAAGGAAACCATTAAAAAACGATTAGTTTGATTGACGGGTGAATTCATGCGTGAACACGAAGCCGTAAACAGTGGAAGCGCAAAAGTTAGATCTTTACAGTATCTTCAAACATGGCAAATGATAGTTGTAATCTTTTTGTATCGAGTTTTGCAAGCTTTGGCATCAACGGTTTAAAAGAAAACGCTGAAAATTTAAATTACTACCCAATTCTGAGAAGAAAAGTAGAGCTTTATTTGCTTCTGTCAACTCACCGTCAATGTGAAAGTTTTCTTTGTCGCCTCTTGCAAATGCTGTTAACGGCGGCTACAAGGTGAGCGTTGTTTATCTCCAAAGTTCTTTGCCTTGTTAACTTGCAATTTTCGAAAATATTTGCCTTCCTCTTTTCTTCTTAAATTAACTTCTATTTATAGGCAAATTGGTCTTGCGAGAAAATCCCGAAATCACAAAACAGTGACAAAGCGCCTCGTTTTGCTCTGTAGTGGTAAACATAGCTTCGAGCGTACAAAACGTCAGCTACAGTAAACCACTTCACAATAAATCACGCTGTTTAAACACCATGAAGCCTTTTCGTGCCTTCAGAGTCATCAGCACTTGGATATTCGTGTATTTTCAAAAAGGCTTTACTATGAAACTTTGGCAAAACACCCAGTTCACAACAGCGATTTTGCACTGCTTTATATTCACCGCCTAACGCGGTGAATATAACGTCATAGTCTGAGATAGCTAACCAATCAAATTGCTTGAATTACCAAGATCACTGAGTGTGTAAAAACTAATAGATGATATTCGTATTCCCCGACGGCCCCGGGACGAGAGACTTCACAGCATGATTGCGAGGCTAAAGCGGGGAACTTTTTAGCAAAAACACAAACAAACATTGGTTAGTCGCGGCTGAATCGCTGCAAAACGATAGAAATCAGCAAAAAACTGCAAGATTTAAAAGCTGAAACCTTACGGGTAAGCTAAACGGATATCTGTTTCAAAAAAAAATGTGGGAAGTACTGGTCGCACTAACAGCAAAAGTTAAAAAGCCACGAAGCCAAAAGAAGAAACAAGAAGTGATCAAGAAAATTGTATACTGTGTCAAAATGTCAATACTCCAATCCTTTTTAATTAAATTTTATTCTTCTTATTATTCTTTTTCTCTTGTGTGAATCTGTAGTGTGGAGTTTAAACTGCTGAGTATGATCGTCTGTACCAAACTCTGTGTTCAACTGCGTGCACGCTTTTGTACTCTAGCACAGTTGTTATCGAAGATAATGTAACTTGAATTTAAAAATAAACTTTATCTAGTCATCTTTGTTCAAACCGATTTAACTTCCTTAAAATGCACATGGACTGTGTGCAGAACAATAAGCCCCGTCCTGATAAGTAATTATCCACTGAATGAGTCGTTTGCTTTACTTCAAATACACATTCAAGATTTTGCATCCGCTCTGTTAGAAAATTTCAACTGCAAAGTAGTTGTGATAACATCACCGTTAACTTTATCGCAGGCTTTCGATAATTACGTCCATTTCAATACAAGATATTCTTCGCAAAGTTTAAAGGACACTCAAAATTACAATTAAATGGCTTCGGGGATTTTAAGAACATCTCTCTTTATATTAAATTATAAACTCGCTCACCAGCTACGTTGCTTTTACAAGAGCAACTTTAGTTGTTTTTTATCTTGAGGAGAGCGTTACAGCCGTGAAATAGCATCGACTTGCCAGATCCAGTTGGTAAGACTCCAAGAACATCCTGGCCTTTCAGGATAGATTCGAAACACTTTACTTGAAAAGGTTTAAAATTAAGCGATGGAAAAATACCGTTACTCAGGGAAAATCCGACCCGGCGAAGCACTGATAAAAACTCTGGTCTACCCACCATCTTCGATGTTTTGTCGTATGCAATCGTATGCTAATTTATTGTACCCACAAATTCTGGGTGTTTGGTGCGTGGTGGTCATGTGACCGGCCGATGCCAGGGCCTTTTCCCGCCCCACCTCCAAAGCCAGGGAAAAGCGCCCTGGGGACGAGGTTGCGGAGCCACCTTAAAGTACAGAAAGTTAAGGAAGTTGCAATGTATCGATAGTATTGTCTACCGGAAGTTGTGTTAGCGGAAGTTCTCGAAAGTTCTCGGAAGTTACTGTAAACGTGCAAAGGATCATGAATATTTGTGTGGGCCATGCTTTCCGGGTGTCATGGCGGCCGAATAAAGTGTAGTTTCTTTCAAAGTTAAATTTGGTTTATTACACGGCCATTAGGGCGTCATTGTTACATTGGCGACGAGGATTCAATTCGCTTTGTGAGGTAGTGGATGTTTTGGAAGTCATTTGTGCGGAAAGTCCTAGTATTTTGTCAGGAAGATGAGGGAAAGTGGAACCACTTCGAGTACAACTTCAAGTTCACAAGCTTCGCCAACCGTCCTCTTCTTGATGTGGCCAGCCTTCCTCCCTTCAATCCAAAGGAAGATCCGAACACCCTTGCAGTTCGCTGGAAGTTGTGGAAACGCTCGTTCAATCTGTATTTGGTGGCAAAAGGGATTACGAAAGATGAACAGAAAACCACATTGCTGTTGCATACTGGAGGGTTGAATTTTCAGGAGCTTTATTACAAGTTATTGACCGGTATGGATATCAAGCCGTTCGCTGAGAGTAAGGAGTTGTTGGATAACTATTTTGCACCGCAGTTGAACGTTCCATTCGAAAGGCATCAGTTTAAGCAAATGGAGCAAGCGTCAGGAGAGTCGGTGGATCAGTTTGTTTGTCGGTTGAGGCAGAAAGCGATCTTCTGCGAGTTTGAAAATGTTGATGAGGCAATAAGGGATCAGCTTATTGAGAGATGCAGGGACCCCAGACTTCGCCCTAAGTTCCTTGAGAAAACAAATGCCACTCTGAAGGATTTACAAGATTTGGCTCGTGTGCAGGAAGCAGTGAACATGCAGCTCAAGGCTATGGATCAGTCATCCGGTCAGGTGAATGCTGTCTCCGGCAAACCTCAGAGCAAAGGAAAAGGGAAAGGGACAGCGCAGGGTAGAAACAGAGGAAATAAGCCTGGTAAACCGTCTAGTGGTTCCCAGGAGACAAAAGTGAGAGGCTGTTTTAGCTGTAATTACACTGACCATATGGCACGTGACCCGAATTGTCCTGCCCGTAGCAAGAAATGTAACACATGCGGCGAGATTGGACATTTTGCAGTTTGTTGCAAAACAAAGGAACGCAAACCTCTTACAAGAGATCACGAGGGAAGGAATAATACACGAGGTAGAGCCTATCAACTATCAGAGGATTCAGCCACTGGCCAACAAGATTATTATGCATTTACAGTTGGAGTCGGTCAGCCTACAGGTGGTAGTGAAGTTGATTTGAAGGTTGGAGGAGTGACGTTACCAGCAGTACTTATTGATTCTGGAGCGTCGTGCAATGTGATTGACCAAGCAACCTGGGAAGTTTTGAAGAAGAAGAGTGTCCAGTGTGAGTCCAAGAAATCAAGCAAAAAGTTGTTTGCTTATGGACAGAAAGATCCTATTGAGGTGATTGGGACATTTGTGTCTGAGATTGTGTGCGAGATCAGTGGCAACAGTTGCGTGGACGAATTCACAGTGGTTAAAGGTCCAGGAAGATCTCTACTCAGAAAGAACACTGCAGAGAAGTTGGGCATGTTAAGGGTCGGTCCAGATGTGTGTTCATTAACTGTTGAAGGAAGTGATGCCGACATCCGTGAGAAGTATAGAGAGGTTTTTACAGGGGTTGGGAAGCTGAAGGATTTTCAGCTGAAATTACATATAAAAGACGATGTCACGCCGGTTGCACAACCCGTACGGAGACTGCCATTTGGGTTGAGAGCCAAGGTTGACGAGACGTTGGATGAACTGTTAGCCAAAGGCATCATCGAGGTGTCACACAACTCAACTGAGTGGGTGTCGCCGTTGGTTGTTGTCCCGAAGACAGACGGTGACATTCGGATTTGTTTGGACATGTGCAGGGCGAATTCAGCAATAGAGAGGGTTGGACACCCCATCCCTACAATTGAGGAAGTCTTGTATGACCTTAATGGCTCAACTGTCTTCTCAAAGCTCGATCTCAAGTGGGGCTTCCACCAGGTGGAATTAGATGAAAGATCGCGCGAGATCACAACATTTGTTACACACCGTGTTTGTACAGGTACAAACGTTTGATGTTCGGGGTACCATCAGCGCCTGAAAAGTACCAGAAAATTGTGGCGGATGTTTTGCATGGTTGCGAGGGAGTGGCTAATTTGGCAGATGATTTGATTGTGCATGGTTGTGGCATAAAGGAACACAACAGGAATTTTCATGCTGTACTGACCCGATTGAAAGAGAAAGGACTAACCTTGAATGGGGAAAAATGCCAGTTTCGTCTTCCCAAGCTTACATTCTTCGGTCATGATCTGAGCAGGCAAGGTGTTGCGCCCAGTGAAGAGAAAGTAGCTGCCATCTTGAATGCAAGCCCTCCACACGATGCTTCACAGGTCAGATCATTTGTTCAGCTTGTACAGTATTCTTCAAAGTTTCTTCCCAACTTCGCGCAAGAAGCAGAACAAATGAGGAGCCTCCTGAGGAAGAATGAGCCTTTCATCTGGGGTGAAGCACAGGAAAGGTCATTCCAGAAGTTGAAACAGCTAGTTGCACAGGCCATTACGCTTGCATATTTAGGGGAGACTGTAACACGCGTATTATTGCCGATGCAGGTCCACAGGGTTTAGGTGCAGTGCTGACTCAACTTCGAGACGGCGAGTGGCGAGCAATCTCGTACGCGTCCAGAAACCTCACTGAAGTGGAGCGGAGATACAGCCAGACCGAGAAAGAGGCCCTTGCCCTAGTATGGGCTTGTGAGAGTTTCAACGTTTATGTGTACGGGCGCAAATTTAAACTTGAAACTGATAACAAGCCACTCAAGTGTATTTTTGGCAGGCTTTCAAAACCATCAGCACGTATCGAACGTTGGGTTCTGAGGTTGCAGGGCTATGACTACAGAGTTGTTTATCGGCCTGGCAAAGCGAATATTGCAGACTCTCTCTCAAGACTCAATCAATGTAACCCTAAAGACACAAGTGGGGAGGAATTTGACTTTGTCAAGGCAGTTGTGAGGAAAGCTTACCTGTTGCCCTGACAGCGAAACAAGTCGAATTGGTTTCTGATAGTGACCCAGAAATTTTTTAGCCTGAGACAGTACATTTTAAGTGGGGACTGGTCTCGATGTAGGATGACAGCTTATGTTTGTGTCAAGGATGAATTGTGTGTGTTAGGCAAACCTGTTTTGCGCGGTACGAGAATTGCTGTTCCGAAGGCTTTACGGGGAAGACGTCTTGCGTCTTGCCCACGAGGGACATCAGGACATCGTAAAAATGAAGGCTCGTTTAAGGACAAGGGTTTGGTGGCCAAAGATTGACTCAGACGCAGAGCAGGTGTGTAAGTCTTGTCATGGCTGCCAAGTCGTAGGTGAGTTCCAGGTTCCTGAGCCCATGAAGAGAGTGAAGCCACCCACTGGACCCTGGCAAGACATAGCCATAGACCTGATGGGCCCCCTTCCCAATGGAGAAAGTTTGCTCGTAGTCGTAGACTGTTACAGTCAATGGATTTTTCGAGGTAGCGATCATGTGCTCGACACAGATATTCTCCAGATATGGATTTCCATTTACACTCAAGTCGGACAATGGTCCTCAGTTTTGCTGTGCGGAGTTTGAGAAGTTTCTCTCTGATCACGGAATCGAACACTTGACTTCCCCACCGCTCTGGCCGCAGGCCAATGGACATGTTGAAAGACAGAACAGAACTCTGCTTAAGACTTTGAAAGTTGCTCACGTTGAGAGAAAAAACTGGCGTGAAGAACTGCAGACGTTTCTGCTAGCATATAGAACCACACCACAAACAACCACTGGTGTTACTCCTGCGTTCCTTATGTTTGGCAGAAAACATAACTTCCAGAGGTGAGGCGCGCTGGTAACCTGTTGTACGAGGGGGTCAGAGATCGTGATTGGAATCACAAGTTCACCCATAAGGAACATGCTGACAACAAGCGGGGTGCAGCCGAAAGCCCTGTACTGCCTGGAGATCTGGTTTTGCTGAAAAACACGAAAACGCCTGGCAAGCTAGAAGCAAATTTCGAGAGTGAGCCATACACAGTGCAGACTAAGGAAGGCAGTGAGGTGACTGTTAGGTCAAAGGAAGGTGTGGAATACAGGCGGAACAGCTCATTTGTTAAGCAGTACAACCCACCAGGGAATCCCCGGAAGCCACAGAGGCCGCTTCTCAAGAAGCACCCAATACTCTTCCACTGGAGGAGAGTATAGCGACATCAAGACCAAGGCGGACTGTCAGAATGCCAGAGAAGTACAAGGACTATGTACTTTATGAACTGAACTCTGTTGACACGTCGGACTTACGTTTAAGTCTGTTAGATTTGGTTTCATGTTATTAGATTTTATTGAACAGTCTTATTGAGATAACTCAATGCGAGCAGAACAGTTTTCATACAGATTTATTTTTTTGCAGTTAAGTGCCTTATTGACTTTTTCTCGTAGTCTGTTCGTTTCTAAAGAAAGGAAGGGATGTAATGTATCGATAGTATTGTCTACCGGAAGTTGTGTTAGCGGAAGTTCTCGGTTACTTTAAACGTGCAAAGGATCATGGATATTTGTGTGGGCCATGCTTTCCGGGTGCCATGGCGGCCGAATAAAGTGTAGTTTCTTTCATAGTTAAATCTGGTTTATTACACGGCCATCCGGGCGTCATTGTTACAGAAGTATACAAGTATCCCCCAGAGGGGAGGTGAATAGCCACGAATACATGTAGATGCGAGTTTTAGTTTCAAGAGCCAATCAAAACGCACGAAAATTGCTATCCACTGACTTAGTAAATACTAACACATCATGCCTGTAAGTTCACAATAATTTGCATACTTACAGCCGTAACATAGTTGCATACAAACACAGCAGTACCAACGATGACACCCGCGAATAAGAACCCAGTGGATTAAGAACCTCCTGGCAGTAATTTGCCACTTTATTGTTTGTTATACCCAATAACACAAGCACCTGTTAGCCAAGAAAGATCAAGCAGGAGTTTAACTTTATAGACCTTCATAGCTACAGTGAATCACTGAACGGTAAGAAGTCTTTTTAGACAATTTTTTGCTAATTCCACTCACTTTTCCATTTTATTTACTTATTTTAATTATTACATGTCCCGTTGTAGAGATAACACTGTATACATTAAAAATTCTGTAATCATTACGGTCATGAATACAGACGTGAATACATAATGTATATTTATTAAAGGACCAAACCCAAGTTTATTTATTCCTCCAGTAATCATTGAGCAATCTATTACCTCCCTCACAGGGCTGAAATTGACCGGTCAAAGTCCTGTCTTGCCGGTCATTTTGACCGGTCATTTTTGGATACGAACATTTTATTTTCCATAAAGTTGTCGCTTAATGTTCTATAACTCTGTAATGATTTCTTTTTTCTTTGGTGTTTGTGGTGTAGTCATGAGACAAGGAGATACTCACACTTTCATTGCTTTCTACATAATCCCTTTATTAAGTGAACCACTGTCTTTATAGTACAAATCATAATCTAGTTTCACTTAGTATCAGTACTTTTACATTCGTGCTGTATTACTTTAATATCACTTAGTACATGTAGTTTCACTGATGTTGGTAATAGTACATAATCGTTACTATGGTAACCAATACACTACATCCTTCCCGGGCGGGTTCTAAGAATATTCGAAAGACACAAGATCATATAAATCAGCAAGAATTAATGTCAATAATATACAAAATTGTCACAGTCCTTAGTTGACTTTACAACTCGTCCTGACCTAGTGGTGATGACCTGTTCATTCTGAGAGGCTTGCTCGTCAACATGACCAGAAGGTTCAGGGTCGTCACAAGCGTCAGAAACGTTAGCACTAGAATCACTAGAATTGTTGGACTCCTTATAGTTGGTAAAAATTTCTACGTTGCCATCATCATCTATGCTCTTACTAGGCGCATGCTTTTAGTACTTTGCATTGCGAACCAAGGTGGTACCCGTGTCCACGTTGACTAGACCGAACGTGTCCCGCGCTTTGGTCTCAATGATAACGTGCTTAGCCAAAGAGAATTTAGAGTCCAATTTGTTGGGCTTCATATTAGCACAAAACACGACATCGCCAACGCTGAAATGATGCGGGGACGCATGTTGCTTGGTGTCATGATAGTCTTTCAATTTCGCTTGATACAAGCTACATTTTGATCGATGGTCACGATCAAGTGCCGATGCTGTTGTATTTGAGTTAGACTCAATGTGCAGTACCTTCGTACGAATTTCGTGATTGAACAACAGCATACCCGATTCCCTCTAAGAATTACTCCTTCAAAAATAGACAATTCGTCCTTTATGCGGCTATACGGTTCAAGATCAGTATCGCGTGACCATTTTCCGCTTTGAATTTGGGCAAGTAATTTGAACAGCGTGACGTCTTTGCTAGTTTCGCATCTCATGTCAGAAAGAGTGACCGCTTGAAGATCTGACATATTTGACATGTAAACAAATCGTACATAATTTTCGCAAACGAAACCGGTATCTGAACAATCATTTTGCTTGGATGGCAATCACGACAGCGAATCTGCTGTGTTGGATACGAGGAGGTAAAATATGAATATGGATCAAACATAGAAGAAAGAGGCTTGTTGTCAGTCAACAAAGTAAACTTAATGCCAAACAAATAATTGTGTAGACGTTCGACAGCCGATACGCAACCTAACGCTTCGCGCTCAATTTGTGAATACCTCCGTTCCATCGATGTGAGCGGTCGACTAATGTAGGCGATCGGTTTACGCTCACCGTTGACTTGGTCTTGCAATAAAATTGCACCTAAACCAACTGGACTGGCATCTGTGATTACGTTCTTTTTCCATGTCCATTTCTGCCCCTTACGAGTAAGCTTTCTAAGCGGTTCAACTATGTTGACTTAACTTGGAATAAATTTCGAAACATAGCCACAAGTCCCAAGAAGCGATCGGAGGTCAGAGACGTTGCTAGGAGGAGGCGTAGCTTTGATGGCTTCCGTTTTTGCCACATCAGGTTCAATTCCTCTTTCAGAAACAACGTGCCCTAAAATCGTTATTTGTTTCACTCCAAATTCACATTTGCTACGATTGAGCTTGAGGTTGCACTGACAACATCGATCTAAAACCTTGCGGATGCGCCTTAGAAGTTCGGTCATGGTTTCGGCATAGATAATTACATCATCGACTGAAATACGGACACCCTCAATGCCAAACAAGATTTTGTCCATCATCTTTTGAAAAGCTTCGCTCGCATCACTGAGACCGAAGGGAGTTCGCTTGAACCTATAACAACCACGAGGCGTAATAAACGTGGTAAGGCAACGCAACTCTTCAGTCAACGTAAGCTGAAAGAATCCGCTATTGGCATCGATCTTTGCAAAATACTTAGAGCAGCGCATAGGATGTAAAGTATCGTCTATCTTAGGTAAATCACAACGTTCCCTAATTACAGCCTTATTAACTTCTCTAAGGTCACAACATACCCTTATATCGCCAGACTTCTTAGGCACAATTGCTAAATTGGAAACCCAAGGACTTGCTTCAGTGACCTCTTCAATAATATCTTGCCCTAACATCCTGTCAAGTTCATTATTCACAGCTTCAATTTGACTGACAGGTATGCGTCTTAGCTGTTGACTTACAGGTTTGACCTCTGGGTCAATAGTAATTTTATGTTCAAAATCAGTAACTTTTCCTAGTCCTTGGAAAACGTCATCGTACTCCTTCAGCAATGAATCCAGCTCACTTTGATTACTAATTACTATTCTGACCGACTGAATTTACTTGGGTAAGTATTCCCAAATTAAAACTGGAGTCTCGTCCAAGTAATGATTCTGTATTACCCTCAATTACATACATCTTTGAATTGACGGTTGTGTCGCCTACCCTAATGGCAGCGTTAAAGAAACCCTTACACCTTAATGGATGTTTTTGTCCATACGCAGTAAAACGCTTTTGAGCTCAGTTCATCGTTCTTAAATTGCGTCTTATGCACCTCTGAGGATATTATGTCGTACTCACTACCGGTGTCGACGATCATTTTGATCCGTTGTTCGTTAATCCTTACTGTGATGGAACTGTCACCATTGTTGAGGGAGAGTACAGGTTCTTCATTCTCGTCATCTGAACTGTTTTCAAGCCAGTCTTTGCCAGGTTTCGAATTCAAGCTGCGGACCTTCATGGGTGGTTTCTTTTCTTTTCCTTTCTTGCCTTTCCTTTGGTCAGTTTTTGACTTTGAACGGCAAACCCTCTGCAAGTGTCCGACTTTTTTGCACTTGTTACACCTGGACTTGATCGTGCCACATTCGTCAGGTGCATGTCCGTCTTTTCCACCACATCTGTAGCAGCTGAAAATTTTTGCTTGTGATCCGCGAGAAGCATGCACGTGGTCGATCTGGATCGGGTATTCTCTGGTGCCTTGAGACAGCAATCGCGCTTCTTGCACGGCCGTTTCTGCATTCCGCGCAATTCTCACAGTTTTTGCTAGGTCAAGGTCTTCTTGCTGGAGCAGTTTCTGCTTTAAGGTTTGGGAAGAGCACTTCTCGACAATTTGGTCCCGTATCATCTCCTCTTCCAAAGTGCCAAAGTCGCAGGATTTTACCAGCTCTCGAAGGCTCGTCAGGTACGCGTCGAACGACTCGTCTACCTTCTGTGCTCTCGACCTGAATTTGTAGCGTTCTGCTACCACGTTCCGTTTCAGGGCAAAGTACCCGTTCAAGGCGGTCTTGGCCTCTTCGAGGCTCTCGTGTTCGCCAGGGAGCGTGTTGAAAATGCGTTGCACTGCGGGGCCAAGGCAATGCAGCATCGTGGCTCTCTGAACTGCATCATCCTTTTTCTGTAGGTCAGATGCTATCGAGTAGATCTCAAACGCACTACTCCAGTGTTTCCAGTCGCTGTACAGATCAGTCGCATCAATGTTGAATGCGGTGGGTGCGGGCAATGAGCATTCCATTTCTCGTAGAACTTCGTCTTGTTCAACCTCGTCTGGCTCAGCTTCATCGGCCGGGTCTGGCGGAGCAGTATTCTCTGCTTGTGCTGCCTGTTCTGGCTGCTCAGTTTCGTCGTCTGTGTGGTCTGCAGTTACAAGTTCATCCTCGTCGCCAATGTGTGGTGTAGTCGTGAGACAAGGAGATACTCACACTTTCATTGCTTTCTACATAATCCCTTTATTAAGTGAACCACTGTCTTTATAGTACAAATCATAATCTACTTTCACTTAGTATCAGTACTTTTACATTCGTGCTGTATTACTTTAATATCACTTAGTACATGTAGTTTCACTGATGTTGGTAATAGTACATAATCGTTACTATGGTAATCAATACACTACAGTGTTATTTGCTACTTTGCACTAAACCCTTCTTAGCAAAAGAACGCCGAAATAGATTAATTTCATGTCGTCATGTCCTAATGAGACGCAACAAAGTGAATAACAAACTGAGTTGTCGAGTAACGCAACGTTGCAGGTCGTACTGTACTTTCTGCTTTGCTGTAATCAGTAATGTGACGTTCTTTGGGAATTCGACGGAATCCCGGTAAATCGATCGCAATTCTCAACGGGTCGTCCTGCGTTTCTCCGGGAATAATGTTAGTGCATCGATTACTAATAATTTCTTTATGTCGAACATGAATCTCGTTTGCGGACTCAATTCGATCACGTGCCAGGCAAAGAAAAAGATCAAGTTTCACCGATGTTCATTTCTGAACATCAACGTGAAACAAATGTGTACAGACTTTGTTCTTTAATAACCCAAATTATTATTTTTTTCTTAATTCCTAAACTTTGTTAAACTGTATGTGTATTCCATTTCCTGAACCTTGAGAGTTTGAAAAGGATTTACGCTTCACTATTTACCTTTAGAGACTTCAGACACCACCGTACGATGATACTCAAGGTAGAACAGACATTAAAACGCGCAAAAACCGCGAAAAGGAACTCTTCAACGTGTGAATGTATTTTGCACCACTAATAACGATCTACTGCCAGCGTAATTCGATATTTCTTAGGCCAAAAAATATTCATTATTTGACCGGCCAGAATCGGGCTAAAAAATATTTAGCCGGTCATCATGATCGGCGACCTGATGTCCGTTATTTTCAGCCCTGCCTTCATAAAAATGAAGAACCTAATTAAGAGCCTACTAAGCCTAAATTGCCAATAACTACCCCAAAATACAAAAACCTATTTTAGCAGACTTCAAAAAAGTAGGTTCAGGAGCCATAATAGGGGTAGGAGTTCGCAAGCGTGGGGTCCACATGCAGTTCCATCGAAATAGTCAATTGTGTTTAACGCTGTCACTAATAAATCGATTGATTGACTGATTGATTGATTGCAATCAGAGGGGATCATTTTTTGCTGGCACCTTTGAAAAAACCATCCGAAGGGTCCGAATTTGCTCCGCCTCTTTAAAGAAAAAAATCCACGCCCCCTATTAAGACCCCATACTTAGCAGGGTGTGGACAAAGAAAATGGAACGCCCCGAGGGGGCAATATCATCTGTGAAAACAGGTCTCTAGTATGACAGAAGCGGATTTCTCGATTTAAAAAGGTTTGCCAACAAGTTAAATTCAGTCTATACATGTAATCGCGTAATTGAACAAAATTTGTAATCGTTGAATTCAATGTCTTCTATCTTTTCCTAAAAGCACGCTTTTAAAAGTCTGCTTGTATCATGAAATACAGTGGAAGTTCTCGTAAGCAGGCACCTTCGGAACGCGAAAAAGGTGTCCGTTACTTGAGCTGGTTCTCATAAGTGGCCACTGGAGATGTAAGGGTTAAACGGCCGCTTACGAGAGCTTCCCCAACTACAAATAAACAGTGGAAATGCAAAAAAACTGTTTGTTAGTGTTTGGCTATGATGTGGTTCAATTTTATCCTTGGTTCAAATTTTATTTCCCTTTGTTTTGGGGTATGGTAATGTATGATAGTTATGACAAACGAAAATAAAATTTAAACCTGTTAATTTCGCTTTCAGAGCGTTTAGTCTTTACAGTGCGTCAAATTTTGATTGTATGTTTTTAGTTTTTTGAGAAAGAAGCATACGCCGTGAGGGTTTACGCAGGTTTAACTGAGAAATGTTTCAATTATTTTTCATTAACAAAGACCAGGGGGCTGTTTCTCGAAAGACCGAGTAGTCCAAGTAGCTTTTCGGGCCCGAAGGCAAATTTTAAAATCAAAACCTGTTAACAAGTAGCACAGTTCCTAGCTCACAGAAACGTCAATTTTGCTTCGTTAACTGATAGTTTCATTGCATAATCTCTTTGTTTTTGAATATAAACACGGCCAACATAAAACAGCTTTCCAGGCCCGAAGAGTTACCAGGACTTTCAAGAAACAGGTCCCAGCGCTTCTATTCAAAAAAAAAGAAAAGATGGTCACGCGGCTATTACTGACTGCGGCCTACAGTGTCAACAAGACCATACAAAAATTCTCCCACAGCAGTATCAAACAATCTTCGAGCCAGAATTGAGTTAAATTTGAAGAAGGAAAAGAAGTTGTTTTAGATGGCAAAGTAGGTGTTGAATGTCAATGAAGCAAATTCTTTTTCACATGCAGTTTGATTGGTGTGAATGAAACGTAAAAGCACGAGCAAGACTTTCCTTATACTGTTCATTATATTGCACAAGGTGACTCTTACTTTTAAGTGTGTTTATAAGCTCTTAAAGTGTGACCGTTCACATTAAAGCACTGAGCAGTACTTTTTCATTGGTGCTAACTACAGCGCCTAGAGCATGGCAATAGCAGTTTTGAACCCGCATGTATGTTGTGGCTTTAGTAAATGAACCCCTTCAGATTGCTGGTTGGTACCAAGGGATTATTCAAAATGGCGACACCTTAGATATTGTCGGAAAAATGAATGGTTGCCCGAGAAGGCAGATTATGAGGACAATCCCTTAGCCAAGGGCATTACCCTCTGACGAACCAATGCAACCATCTGACGAGTTATCAATTTACTAAGTGACCATACACAGGAACAAAATAAAATGAAAATTGAACTACAATACTTTTGCCACGAAACCCAGTCTCCATAATGCTCTAAAGCTCGTTAGAAGGCTATAGCATGCTTTATTGTGGTGAAACAAAGAAAAACCAGTGGTAATCAAGGCATTAAAAAAGTGTAATTGCAGGTGATCCCCACAAACATAAGACAGTTAATTTACTCAATCCTGTTAAGTTAAATCTATAATGTCATTGTGTTAAGTCTAGCCTGCGGAAACATCCGTTTCTCCTCGCTCTTCACCGCTGGGGACGTTTCGCGCGGAGGAACGTCTGCGACTCAGCGACAGAAATTCCATACTGATGACGTAAAATCTGTCCAGAATCCGGTCAGAAGCGCTGATTGGTCGACGCAGCAGTTACATTGTTTTAGCTATTGTTTATGAATGACAGACAAAAAACAAAAGGCCACAAAGGTCAAATGTAAACGCGAAGAATCTCTAACAAAACAGTCAATTTTTGTAGAATATAGACTTCTGTAGAAGAAGCATTTGAATTTTGCTGGAGCTCGTGGGCAGATCAACACAACACTTTACCAAAATCGACCAGAAGACACGCAAAATTAGACATATTTATATTTGAAACCCTAAGACTACCGGATTTATTATGTAAACATTGATTTGCCTCATCAGTATGGAATTTCTGTCGCTGAGTCGCAGACGTTCCTCCGCGCGAAACGTCCCCAGCGACGAAGAGCGAGGAGAAACGGATGTTTTTGCAGGCTATGTTAAGTCAAGTTGTTGGACAATACATTTTGAGTATGAATATCATTGGACAGTCAGTTTTAATTGAGAAAGATCAGACATTTTAACTTAATATTTATTGAACATCAGCACAGTGAATTTGAAATTTATTAGGCTGTAAGTTAGATAGTTATTAATAACTTCGAGAGATCAGACATTTTTAGCTTAGTATTTATTATAACAACAGCACAGTGAATGTAAAAAATATTGTTAAGCAGCTGCTGATGTTTTACTCGTCACTTCCCAAATTCCACTTTTGGGTCTGTATATGAAGTACGGGCTTTTTTTAATCATCCCTGGTAGAAATACTATGCAGGATCCTGCAGGATCAGGAAGTTTCCTGACAGGATCTTACAGGTTCTGAATAGGACATAACAGGGTTCTGATAGGTTCATACAGGATCCTAACACTTATAAAAACTGTACAGGAACCTGATAGGTTCAGGATGCTGAATTCAATGTTACAGAATCCTAAAAGAATATCTTACAGAAGCCCTGATAGGAACTTATGGAATCCTAATGGTAAACCTTACAGGATCTTGATAGGATAGAACAGGATCCTAACAGTATCTCTTACAAGATCCTGATAGGATTGTACAGGATCCTAAAAGTATCTCTCACCGGATCCTGATAGGATTGTACAGGATCCTACCAAAACACACAAGAATACATCAAAGATAAGTCTCATTATTTATTTTATAGAAACAAAAGGCAAAACATAATGACATTTAGCGTTTGCAGACCTCAGTATTTTATTTCTCACGTCTCAAAGGTCAGCTCTAACACGACACTGACTCACTCGTGTCACACAAAGTAAATTACATTCCACTCTTGTAATGGGAGCTTGGGAGGCCTGTGCGATATCATGATATCCATATAGAGTTCTGAACGCGATGGCCCTGCCCACCTTATTATCATGATCAGTTGAAATATTTAAAAAGTCACACTATTAACCAACAATATGGTTTACGGAAAATGGACAACCCTAGCCTAGTTTTGTTTATAT